CCGCGACTCGCAATAGTCATGTCTCGCTCGACGCTAAACCTGGTCCCAACCGCTCCGATGAACCATTACAACCGCCCACATCCAACGACAAAACAGACGCCCGCACGAAGCAGACACAGTCATCGAACACCAAACAATCGGTGCACCCCGATATCGCCGAGGCTCAAGCCACCCTCCGCCAAGCCTTCCCTCATGTCTATGCCACCGGCCGAGCCGCTTCCACACGATCTTCGACGAGTTCTCTTCAGGCCTTGAATGAAGACACCGTGGTGGATGCCCGATCGGATCAAGGAAGTGTTGGGCAAAGCCCTCGACGAGGGTCCCGACACTCCGACACTCGACCTGAATACCCCGTCTACCCCGATCAATCCTATGCCTCACTCCAGTCTCAAATACATCCAACCTATCATCATCGATCCCGGAGTTCATACCCAACACCGGCGGAGACAGCTACTCGATTTGCTCATGTTCGTGCCGCCCGAACGGCGGGCAACACACCCGTTTCGAGCCCCGGCCTCTTCTCGATGAGGACCCCTCGCAACACACCGCCACTAGGTTCCGAAGACGAAGGATCGCTCGGCAGCCCATATCTCCACCCAAGTCACCTCCAACCTCCCAAAGAGACCCACACCGCCGAAGTCGACCGAGATTTAGTCACTGGCAACAAGGTTATCAATCAGTACGAGATTCTCGAGGAGCTCGGCCGAGGCGAGCATGGTAAAGTAAAGCTTGGTCAGCACGTCGCTACCAAGCAGAAGGTTGCCATCAAGATTGTCCAGCGGTACTCTAATCGCCGTCGGTTAGGGAAGTTGGGCAATCCGGAAGATAAAGTTAAGAAAGAGGTCGCCATCTTGAAAAAGGCCCGACATCCGAATGTTGTCAGTCTCCTCGAGGTCATCGACGACCCAAACCGACAAAAAGTCTATATTGTTTTAGAATACGTGGAAAACGGCGAGATCATTTGGCGCAAGAAAGGAGTCCGAGAAATTGTCCACGTGGACAAGTTGCGGCTGGATCGCGAAAAGGCAGGGATTCCCGACACTCCGGCTTTCTTGGAAGAGAGCCTCCAATTCATCCGAACGGCACAATATCTACGCCGACAACGGGACAAGGCACGACGCCGAGTCGAAGCGCAGGCCGCAGACGCACAGCAAGGTCCTATTCCTGCCTGGAGTTTGGAGCACGGTGTTGAGTCTTCCGACGAGGAAGAGGAAGGCGAGGGTCTGGGGCTTTCCATGCGACGGTCTTCCACCCGCTCAACTGTGCTCATCGATGAAAACTCCCACAGCCAATCGTCCGCAAATGATTCCATTGCAGCTGTTGAAGGAAGCATGTATGGTGCTTATTCGGATTTCCCCTTCGAGCGCCGTTTCAGCACCACTTCCAGCAGCTTTGGCTACGCCCCATCCGAGCCTGACTGGTCTGCCGACACTGATGACTTGTCATATGTCCCCTGCCTGACTGTTGCCGAAGCTCGCAGCGCATTCCGTGATTCGGTTCTTGGTCTGGAGTACCTCCACTTCCAAGGTATCATCCACCGCGACATCAAACCCGCCAATCTCCTCGTCACCAGCGGGCACCGAGTCAAAATCTCCGATTTTGGCGTTTCCTACCTCGGAAGGCCTATGCGGGACGAGGAGGAAGAGCAGCTTGGGGAAACTGACGCAACTGAGCTGGACGATGCCCGTGAGTTGTCGAAGACGGTCGGAACCCCGGCATTCTACGCGCCCGAACTTTGTTACGTTGGTGATGATTTTGAAGAGACTATTGGGTCAGTTCCGAAAATCACTGGCGCCATTGATGTTTGGTCTTTGGGTGTCACATTGTACGGGATGGTTTTTGGTCGCCTCCCTTTCCTGTCGGATGACGAGTATAGCATGTTTCAGACTATTGTGAAGAAGGAGGTCTTCATTCCCCGCAAACGTCTCGTTCCTGTCATGGATGAGTCCCTTGGCCATCTACATCTACCCAGGGATGTTCGCGAGGATAATGTGCTTGAATACGAGGATATCGATGATGAGTTGTACGATCTACTCCGTCGTCTTTTGACCAAGGATCCGGTCAGGCGAATTACTCTGAAGGAGATCAAACACCATCCTTGGACCTTGTACGGCTTGCCTAATCCACAGATGTGGGTGGAAGAGACAGATCCCGGTCACCAAAGCAAGGGCAAGCGGATCGAAGTTTCCAACGAAGAAGTTACCAGTGCCGTCAGCAAGGTCCCCTTCATCCAACGGGTACGATCCAACGTTGCCAAATGGTTTGGCGGTCGGTCCTCCAAGGAAAAGCGCAATGCGAACAATTCCTCAGATACGCTCTCTTCCGCCTCGAGCGCGAGCACCTTCGGGAAAGCCTCGCGTGGTGGTGACAGCCGCCGCTCAAGCTTACGAGGCGATGAAGACATTTTCCGTCTGTCCAAATTCGGTGGCCAGGGCGAGCATCCACTCGCTCAGAGTGTCACAGCAAGCCCGGTAGAGGAGGAGTCGTGGGCGTCTTACTTTGAATCCCTTCCTGTCTTGTCTGAAAACAAACCTGTCGTTGCGCCAACAGTCACACCTCGACCGGGCCCTCCCCGACGCGCCAAGTCCTCCATGTCCACCGCGGAATCGACCAAGACAGTGAAACAATCCAGAATGGACTCTACTCCAACTGGCCGACCACGGTCTGGTGTTACGCCATCCATTATTGAAGCACTCGGGACAACCAGCATCGGCAGCATCTTCAGCGGTGCGACTCGACGGGCCTCTGGGGCATTTGGTAGCCGTAGCCGCCGCTCGTCGCCAACCGGTGAGACAGCTCCCACTTTGGATGACGACCCTCGATCCGAGCCTAGCCTTGCAGTGAGCAATGCTTCTGCTGTTGGCCACATGCGAGCCTCTGGCTTATGGAATGCCAACACTTCTTCATCTGGTACTGGATTATCGATGCCAGTGGGCCACCGACGCAATCGGTCTCAACAGCTCGCAGGAAAATCTTCTGCCGAATCTTTCAATCTCACCAAGGAGGCGCTCCTCCGGCGTAGGAGGAGTGACATCGAGCCAAGTGCGGAGAATGCGCTGGCCCCCAAGTTTGAAAGCGCTATGTATTCCACCGATTCGCTGCAACTACCGGCATTGGCTCCTCCCCTAGACCATGGATATGCAGCTGAGCCTGCACATGGCGATGCGCCTCAAAATGGTCTCAATGCATCAACGCCTTCTGCTGCAACGATCTCATCGTCCTCTGCCGACGATTTCACCAGCGGCATGTCGCAAAGTGCTTCTCACCCTAGCATTCCGTCTGTTGTCTCGGGTGCTTCATCTCTTTCTGGAGATGGGCTTTATTTCGGATTCAAGGACAGAGATTCGGATACTGCGTCCCAGGTACCTTCTATACTTCGCACGGGCGAGACAGTCAAGGCTCGCCTCCCCGGGTCTCCACGTCCTTCCGAAGAAGACGAGTCACGGTACTACTGCGACGATGAGGAAGAGGAGTCTGACTCGGAGGAAGAAGTCCTGGTGATCGGCAAGAAGAAGCCGCCTCCGAAGTCCGAGAACAAACCTACTCTCAAATCGAATTGATCTATGCTCTGATCGCATAATACACTGATCAATACATACCCATATTTACCACCACCTCACGCCCTTGCTTCATCTATTTCTGTATACTGAGGGGTCGTTGCATATTATGTTGCTGTTTTTCCTGTTTCGCCACGGGATCATATTTGGAACTTGAACGTGGCATTCTAGAATTTGTTCCATACATTCTACACGTCTTGTACATATACATATGCGGCGACATGGGCATGTTCCTACCATGTCGCGGGATTTTTCTTCTTTTGATTTCCCCTTTGCTCCGATCGCACAGCCTATGGAAAGATGGACTGGGCTGGGCTGGGCTCGGCTTCAGGAACTTGGAGCCCCTCTCCTTTCCCCGCCATCATCCAGCCGAAAGCTACCTGCCCACCTTCACCTCTTTCTTCTTCTTCTTTCTGGTCTTTGATTGCCCCACACCGCTCAGATCTTGACCTTGATTTTTCCCGCTTACCTGTATTTAATCCTTAAGGGTGATGATTGTTTGTTGGATCTCTATTGCAGGTGGTGGTATGATAAATGATGGGAGGCGTGGCACCGCCTGTTGCAATGATATGTCACGAAATGAATAATGGGGATCTCCCCAGCAGATATAATTGTTTACACACTTCATCCAAAAAAGTCTTACGTACGTGTACAAAATGCCACATGCACTGCACTGCAGGTGTAATAGTAGTAGAATTGGCTACTCTCCGGTGGGGTTCAAGTTCTTCACAACTCCCGACATTTTGGCTTCGCTTCCATCGAAGATCTACGTCAGCTCCTCTTCAACAATTAACAACATTCCACCAATGAGATCAACCCACCACCCTGAACCGAACCACTTTGTACTAGTATCATGAAGATTCAATCTAAGCTTTTAATCTATATACTCCGTACTCGCCCCTCACGGAAATAAAAGTATCAAAATCAAGCGACGCCCCCAATTTGAACTTGAAGCCAAGCCATTTTAAGACACGGCACTACTACCACTACTAGTAGCGTGTACGCCCAGCCCAGGTGTACTTACTCGTACATAGACGCCCCCTCTTCTCCACCCTGACCTGACAACCGTCACACCGGCGTTTCACGACGCAGCTAAACCTAGACTGGTCGTCCTCCGGACAAATAATTCACCTTGAAGGCGTGTGGACTGGAGCTTAATCAATAAGGAGGAGATTTCCGATCCTGAAGGGGTGAGTGCCGAAATGTGCTAAGGTTAGAAATATAGATCCATTTTAGACTCGGAGAAGAGTCGGGTGGTTTTTGATAAATAGGGGAGATCTGCGTCTGCGTCTGCGTCTGCGTCTGGGAAAGAGAAATGGAATAAGGAATGATCACACCTTGAAAACCCCATCAACCATTGGAAAACAAAATATTCTACTCGACAGCTCGGTATACGTACAATACATCCATAGTACCAGTTACTACACACCGACAACAGGCAAAATGCTGCCAACCCTCCTCCTAGCAGGAGCGTACCTCCTCGCACCAGCAACAGCAGCCCTGACCTATCGCGGCGCGGACATTTCCTCATTAATCGTGGAGGAAAATGACGGAATCTCATACAAGAATTCAGCGGGCACAACCCAGGTCTTGGAAAAGATTCTTTCAGGCGCTGGAATCAACTCCGTTCGTCAGCGTGTTTGGGTGAATCCTAGTGATGGCAGTTATGATCTAGACTATAATGTCAAATTGGCCAAAAGGGTGCAGAATCAGGGGATGTCGACGTATCTTGATTTGCATTATAGTGATACTTGGGCAGATCCGAGTGCTCAGGTACGTTTACGTTTTTAGTAATCTACTCCTCGCCTTTTCCTTTTCCTTTTTTTTTTTTTCTTTTCGCACTTCATTTCTTTATTCGTGTTTTGACTAACGTTTCCTGGAAATACTTCAGACAACTCCATCCGGCTGGTCTACCACCGACATCAGCACCCTAGCATGGCAGGTATACAACTACACGCTAGAAGTATGCAACGAATTCGCCGCCAACGACCTAGACGTCGAAATCGTCTCCATCGGCAACGAAATCCGCAACGGACTCCTCTGGCCCCTCGGTAAAACAACCAGCTACAGCAACATCGCTCGAATCCTACACTCAGCAGCTTGGGGCGTGAAGGACTCCGATCTATCAACCACTCCCAAAATTCTCATCCACCTGGACAACGGCTGGTCATGGGATCAACAGAAATACTTTTACGACACGGTGCTCGCAGCTGGAACGCTGGTCTCGTCTGATTTCGACTATATCGGCGTTTCATATTATCCGTTTTATAATAGTGCTGCAACACTGGCGTCGTTGAAGACTAGTCTTACGAATCTGAAGTCGAATTATGGGAAGGATGTTGTTGTTGTTGAGACTGATTGGCCTTATTCGTGTCCGTCGCCGGCTTATGCTTTTCCTAGTGATTTGTCGAGTATTCCTTTCAGTGTTGCGGGGCAGCAGAGCTTTTTGACGAAGCTTGCGGCTGTTGTTTCGGCTGTGGGTGGGTTGGGGATTTATTATTGGGAGCCGGCTTGGGTTGATAATGCTGGGTTGGGGAGTAGCTGTGCTGATAATTTGTTCTTTAGTTGGTCGAATGATCAGGTCAGGGCTAGTTTGAGTACGCTTGGTGGGTTGTGAGGGTGAATTGGTAGCGATTAATGGGTGCTAGGTGTTGTTGAATTCAAGTTTCCTTAGTTAGGCCCGAGGCAGTGGGGGTGGATGTTAGGGAACAGATAATTTGACTTGATTTCAACTCAATTGTACTCTGTAGATGGACGAAGTGGGTCGTTGATTTCAATCGTTCATTTTTTTTCTACATATTGTATAGCCGGCTGCTGTCAAGCAGATGGCTATTGTTAAAACCGAACTAGTCATGCTTACTCCGTACTCGTACTGGAATGCAATTTGTGATCTATTGATTTTCGCTGACATCATGATCATGTCGCTGAATTGAATTTTCTTTTTTAAGATATTGCACCCCTAGATGCAATGTTCCTAATTTAAGCTTGTCGAGGCAGAAGAATTCTTCATACAACTTGCAAAGCCAAATTTAAACTATCTTCAAGGCAACCATCCTCTGCTGTTGTTCAGTGTTCACCTAGTTCACCTAGTTAACACGTCAGACAAGGCGCACAGCAGTCTGCCTTGCCCTAAAAGCAGACCCCTCTTGGCCCGAGCCCGCGCTTATGCCTGAAACGGTATAGATCCGACTGGAGACCGTGGGTGAAACTCAGCTGCGTGGCTGTGCAAGAACTAAAGTCCCATAGTGCTTCTCTTGCTCCACCGATGCTTGTATGTCTTTTGGAAGGCATCGAAATTCGGTAGATTGGCAACTGCCACAGGTACAGTGGCTCGTGGCTTTGTTAGATAAAAATAGGATTTGAGTAGGGCTAGTTCAGAGGGTACTCGTAAGATGATGGTGTCTAAGCCTATCTACTCCGTAACTATCGCTGTTATCGACAAAAAAGAGTGGAACAATGTGGGGAGACCCCATCACCAGTTCTTCATTGTTCACGGTGTGAGACAAGATCCTCCAGGGGCCCAGCTTGAACGAGTGGGCCTTGGACTGTCCCTTTCAAGTTTCCCAGTCGATTCAATCTCGTACTTCGTAACCCTTTAGCCTTTGGCATTGGCATTAGGGCCCAAATCCATCACACTTTTTGGGTGCAGACCGCCTTGCGCACGTGAAGTCACCTTTATCGTATCCCACGCATGAGCACCCTACATTACTCTCTCTCTCTCTTCCTCCCCATGATCATGTCGATTCTATGCTGACAACACATTGCGCGAGTGTCGAGTCCTCCTTGCGAATGACACCCCCTTATAACCCTTCCTTTTTCTTTGCGTTCAACGCTGGACCTCACCCCGCTCCTTGATCTCATCCGATCCGATCTGATTACTCCCCGCCTACGCCTACAATTGGTCTCCGTCTCCTCTTGCCATCATCACCTGATCGCTCGTCTCTCTGACCAACTTGTTGCGACATTTTGCGTTTCCCTTTCGCGAGTCCGCCATGGCGTCCCACAACCAGGGCCAGGGATCGGGCGCCTCACCCGGCAATCCAGACCATCGCAGCGTGAGCCCGTCACCCCACACTCAGCAGTATCACGACCCAACCTCCGGCTTGGGCCTGGATCCTTCCATGTCCGCCGCCTTTGCGACAAACCAACCCTTCAACAACCAGGACCCAGGAATCGGCGGCGCAGACGCGTATGGCTATTCTACTGGTTACTTGTCGGCCGCCCCGCCCGCGCAGAGCCTCGAGCAGTTCCCCCCGGTGATAAACACCAACAACATCTCCATGTCGCAGTCTTTCGACCCAAATCTCGTCAACCAAATGGACCAGGGACAATCGGGTCTACACTCCCGGCAGCCCGATGAGAACTTCTCCAGTTTACTCAATAACCCCAACGACTTGGACTTCTCCGGCTATCATAACCACAGCCCCCATAGTACTACCGCGTCAGAATACGATTCGTCGCATCTCCTGGATCCCCAAATGCATCAACGACCGGCATCCATGCACCAGGCTATCAACCCGGCCGATCTAGTTAGCCCCATCTCCAACCCCTCTGCGTCGTCCCACCCTCCTCCCAAGACCAACAACAGTCCTCCCCGGGCCCCATGTCCCCTCCCGGATCAACCCCGGGCACGTATTACACTCCCCAGCATTCACGACACACCTCGTTGGATCCGTCTACGGCGACTTATTTGAGTGCACAACCAAATGCAGACTGGGGGTCAGTTATGAACAATGTCGCATTCCAGGGCCACCGGAGAGCAGCGTCAGAGGTTTCGGAGGTTTCCTCGGCCAATCACTCCCCATACCTATCCCAGCATGAGTATGACGGCATTGAGAACAATGCATCGCCTTCACTGGCTCCGCAAAATGATCCTGCTTTGTACGATAATCAGCTGGGTATCGAGCAGTTTACCCTCTCGGAGCAGCAGCAAGGTTTCAGCCCACTTCATAGCCCGTACATCTCACCTCGCCTCATGCCACAGCAGGGAGGCGAGATTCCAAACAATGGCGCTTATCTCAATGCCAACACCACGTCCCAGTTCCCTCCTGCGCCGACCGAAATGTACGGGATGCCGGGGATGCACTCTTGAACCAGGGCTTCGACAATGGCATGACAGATATTGGCCAGGCATCCTCGATGGCCCCTCCTTCCATCAACGTGGAATTTGCCCCGCCATCACGAGTTCCAAGCTTCGGTCCGCCCAAACCGACTACTGATCTGGACTCGTTGAGCCCCCCCTGCAATGCGTGCGTTTCAATTACTCCAGCCTGGTTTTTGTTTCTAGCTACATATACTAACAACGCATTAGGATCTCGTATGCGCAGCAAGTCTGACCCATATACACACCCAGCGTCTCGTTCAAGATCACCGGCGAACTCGGCCACGAGTCTTGAGCCTGTTGCCCCCAGCACTCCTCGCTCGTTATCCCCACACTCACGCAGTAGCCCTGGATCCCGCGAGGCATCTCCCTCCCGTTCCAACCGACGTCTCTCAACGTCGTCGATCGAAAGCCGAAATTACATCCTGGATTTGGCCGATCCCCAACGCCCCGGTGCGGTCCCGGGCGATTCCAAGCGTGTTCAGAAGCATCCTGCCAATTTCCAGTGCACATTATGCCCAAAGAAGTTCACCCGGGCGTATAATTTGCGCTCTCATCTCCGAACCCACACCGACGAGCGACCGTTCGTGTGTACTGTCTGCGGCAAGGCATTCGCCCGTCAACACGACCGAAAACGACACGAAGGGTTGCATTCTGGCGAGAAGAAATTTGTTTGCCGAGGCGATCTGTCACGGAATGGAAACTGGGGTTGTGGTCGTCGATTCGCCCGCGCCGACGCTCTTGGTCGTCATTTCAGATCCGAAGCAGGTCGAGTCTGTATCAAGCCATTGTTGGACGAGGAATCCCAAGAGCGGGATCGTGTTCTCATGGAACAACAGCAACAGCCACAACAAGCGGCCGGGCATTTGCAACCTGTCCCACAGCCCATGGTTATGCCCGGGGTCCCCGGAATGGATGGCCAGTCTGGTAGCAATTTCGTTCTCCCTGCTGCACTTCTTGCACAATACCCCGCACTTCAAACTCTTCAATGGGATCAGATCCCTGCTGCGGGCGAAGATCCTGGCGAAATCGGCGGTCGGAGTAGTTTCGATGCAAGTTCTGGCGGCGAATTCGGCTATGATGAGGAAGATTCCGGCATGAGCGGTGGTTATGGAAATAATCAAGGCGGCATGTACGGTGGCCAGATGTTAGGCGGCGATCCTGGATATCAGGATCAAAAGTGGACTGGATAACAGAGGTGCTGAATAAGTTTATGCATGGATACCATACCTTCGTTTATACCCCCATTCTTGCAGATTCGTTCTTGGGATTTTTGGTTTGCACTTTGGAAAGGAAAAGCCTCGACTTCAATTTTCTTCTCCAGTCGAGTTTTCACGCTCAAGACACTTTCTGTCCTATTCCTTTCTTTTCCTTTCCTTTGGCCTGTGCCCTTTATAGAAGCTTTTTGGCGTTCAGATACATTGGTCATTTTGGGGAGCTTTGTTTTTTCCCGTCACCATGGTGGGCATTGGGGTTTTGATGCTTCCTTTTTTTTTACCCTTTTTGTGGCACACTTTATACCAGCATTTGAGTGTGCTATACCTCCGATATTTTGCCTTTCTCCTCCTTTCTTCCTTCAACCCCTTTGCAGAGTCGAGGCGAATGAAAGAAATATTCGCCCCGCAGTCTGCTTCTTTCTTTTCAATTTCCTTTCGATCATCTTCGTTGCCGCGGAAGTTTTGCCATCGTGATGTGATGCATTTGATGATTCCCTTCTCTCATACCCGTCTTTTTTTTCGACTCGTTATTTCTTTTGGATATACCTCTAGTTTTTGGAGTACTATACCACAATTTTCAAACCATTTATTTGGCTGTCTTGAATCCATCCTTAACTCTAGCTCTTCCCAACTAGTTATTTGGTCTCGCTGTCCTGGAGATCATTGGATGTAGGTATAGTGGCGCCGCAGGAGTTTCCAACCCTCTATTGCCCAGCATAGGAAGGCAGATACTAAGAAGGACAACACTGGCATGGGACCGGAAACTTTTGCGGCACCGAGTCAGCCACCCGTTCCAAGGTTTCAGCCGTGTTAAAAGTGATTATTTACAATTCGATATCTTAACGATTTGGGACCAAAGAAAATTGTCTTTCGGCTTGCAAAGCAAGCAGCGTTCACGATATGCCATAGCACTTTCACTCTAGCCTTAGTTGATCGGCTTTGTACACAAATATGATCCAAACCAGCAACATAGATATATAGATAATGAACCTGGTAGAAAGACCTCATGCATCCCATGCTCTTATTCGCTACCACCCAAAATCACTCTATACTATCAGCCATCAACAGCATCATACCTCAAGAATTATGTATAGCTGTACTTGCAATAACCCTCTGCAACCAAACTGGTGAATTTCTGATAGGCTTGAAACAAGCCTACGTGTTTGAGATTATTTCAAAGGCAATATTATACGCAGCAGGCATCGAAACGCCCACAATACTCGTTGAATAAAGTATAAGGACAGTGATGGGCTTTACCCATCGCATCACAGGAAACTGTGTCGCCTCAAGGACAAGTAGCATCGCAACAGTCTGCACCAATGTTGTTGTCGAAATCACTGCGTTTCGTCTGGCCCAGCTGAATTCGGGGTATTCGCGAAATACGGTGTACAGATGCAAGTCTAGCACCAGCCGACTAACCACCGGAAGAGATAGGAACATCCATGGTGGAATCACAAGGGAAGGAGAGACCAGGACCTGGCGTAGGCCCCTTTGAACGCATACGCCGCCCTGGAAGAAAAGGGCGGCGCACACGGTGTACTGGGAAGTGCGGCCAAATTTGTTGAGGCGGAGGAAAACAGCCTGGTAGAGAGGATCTTTTGTTAGCAAGCAGCTATGCAATTGTAAGGGAATTTGAGGCCAAGAATCCAAGGACCTGTTTGAAGTTGGGCGTATAGCATACCTCGAATCCGGTGGTTATAACTGGGATAATAGTCGACCAGTCCGCGGGTATAACTACCGTTAGAACAGTTCCAAGCCCGCACGTTACAGCGGTAGAAGTAATAGCCGCCTTCCACGTTCCGTTTGAGCGGCTTAGAGCATTTGCATATTCCGATAGCGACCAACTTCGAAGATTGGCGGTTCTTTTCGGCGGTGGAGCGCAAGACCGGTCCAGACACAGTCCGATAAGGCCGTAGGTGGCGAAGGCGGAAATGAAGACGATTCCAGGATATTGAGAGACAAAAGGTTTTGTCGTGGGGTTACTGAAGAGCAAGATAATGAAAGATACGAGAGAAGCCATTGCCATCATGCGCACGCTGACAAAGTAATACCAGTGATCAATTATGGGACGATTACAGGATGCGACGACTGTGATGGAGTCAAGGGCGGGCATAAATGAAAGGCCGAACCATACATCGAGAGCAACTGGGCGAGAGGGATTGAGATGCCATCGTCCCATATCTTTGTAGTCAAGGGCGGGTTTTGTGAATGGGATACTGTCGTGGGTAATTGTGCCACATTGATGGGGGAACCAGCTCGACTCCGAGTCTCCGATAGCAAGGGTAGGTTGGAAAGAATCATGGTGTATAGAAAGAAGACAATGATTACACTGGTCTGTATAGCCAAGAGTCTTTTGGTTTTGATATCATGCATACTAAAGACAGATTATGCCTTCGACAACCCTAAGTCGGTAACCGTTAGTTACCATTATGAAATTGGATAGTGGGATGACTTTGGGATGAAGATCAACCAGGATGCGAGACCACGTTTTAATATTTCTAGAAAATACCCATGACTTCCATAACTGAGATCTGTAGATGTTTTAATATCCAGATTACAGGATCCGCATCCTCTAATTACTGCCCAGCCGAGTGTTGATGTGGTGGGGCAGATCGTCCGGGAGCCTTGGGATGATACGGCGCTCCATAGTTAGCCGCAACCAGTATTTAGTGGTAGTCGGGCCGGTAGAAAATGGGCCCATCTTGTAACCCTGATCTCCGAAATTCCTGCTCTTTCTCCATATAAATTTGGGACATAGTAGCTACTACACTGTCCAAGAGGCTGGCCCATAAGTTCGGGGCTATGTGGCGTTGAAATGGCATTCTGCAAGGGCGTATGGGCGCAGAACACTCCACTTTCAACTGCACCAGGGGTTCACCGCTGCGTCCTAATTTGAATGGCGAACACTGCTACATGTGGACATCAGGGCTACAGACGGCCTCTAGATCGGTGGGACTATAGTTATGCTTTATGAGTTGTTACCGTGTATAATCTACCCGGTCAATTGGCCGTAGGATGGTCCGAAAACATCGCATCGAGGTCAATGAGCAACTACTAGGCCTTAGCTTCTGGAAGTAGTATTCGCCTTGGTTCAAGGTTCAAGAATACTCGTATACCGGCATTGAAGGTAGTAGTATATTACTGGATTTGATCGAGGGATCGGCCCGCACCCCAGATGCCCAGGTGGAGAATCGTCATGTTGGCTATATATTGAACAATCATAAAGTTTATTTGTATGCGATTTCCTGCACGGGCGATCATTGGGCAAATGTACAGATGCAACATTATCCTGCACTATATCTCTTTGATCATGATAATGAGCGACGAGAAAGAAATATATTCAATGTCATCCAGACCATATGCCAACGTCGAAAAGACTCTGTTGAACCGAATAGTAAAATCAATCGAGCTTTTTGGAATTTTCTGTATGAGATCCCCTGTAACAGTGAGCTTATGTGGCAGGCCTTTGGTGCCTTAACCCCAAGGTTGACTCACGCAGTTGTTCCAAAGCTTTTGTCGAACGAGACGATATTGCCCTGCAGAAAGAATGGACGGATGATTCTGGTCAGTATGGTCGACGTTTGCATTTTAAATTCATCATCGTTGATACCAGGCTGAATGCAGATTACAGTAGTATATGTATGTAGATTTACTCTGAAGCCAGGGTCCTGAATATCGCCGCACGGCTATAATCAAAGATCTTCCTAGGTGACGAACTTTGTCCCAAGTCAGGCTGCCTTCGTATGACAGTGAACTATACTATGGACAAGTCTCTTCATGATTGCAATTTTTCTCACAAAGTACCCCATGATACTACGCTCTTTGATTCCAAATTCCCTTCCATCTGTCCAAAAGATCAGAGATGAATTAGAGGAGCCGAAATCGGGCGAGTATTCTCAGCTCTGCCGTGACCAGCACGCGATCTTGATATATTTCTCTTTTTTGCAGGATCCAGTACATACGACCATAGGGTGTGGAGAACAGGGCTTCCCGTCCGCTCAGCCGTACTTAAGCCACACGCCGGCAGGTTAGTAGTATGGTGGGTGACCACATGCGAATCCCTGCTGTTGTATGTTCTCTTTTTGGTTTTTTGATTTTTTTTGATTTAGTATTTGCCGCTCTAGTATGCAGTTGGGCCAAGCCCTAACTCTGGTACTTTTACCCTACAACGTAGATACTAGTATAAGACCACATTGGAGTATATGAGTACGTCTATGAACCCGCGTCGATTTTAATGAGAGTGCATTAAACTAAATCTCCTTCTTTATTCCACTCAAGACAAATATCCAGTTACAACAACCAAGCAATTTTGAAGTTTATGACAATGTACCACTCTCAAAATCGTCATCGCCCATATTTGCTTGGTCTTTCAAAACAGGGAAGCCAACATTCGCCTCCCAGCAGCCATTGGCGGTATTGAAATGCAAGTTTCCACCATACTTCTTAGATGTCGTATCCGTATCACCTGTTACTTGCATTAGTGGTTATTGGAAAACATACAAGGACTGTAACGAGTTCCACTTACAGTGATCAATAGCAGTCAGGAACGTGCTTTCACAGTCATCAGGCCAGAAAATATCCTTGCTCGTGGCTTTCTCGCAATTCGTTTGATCTTTAGCAAATTTAATATCCACCTCAAGACTACCACCAAAGACGCCGGAATTCCGGTACCAGTGAGGGCTGTCCTTAGTAGTAGGGTCCTTAAAATCATGTTGACAGAACTTCTGGATCTGAGGAACGGCTAAATCTCGATCAACAGGCATCATCGAACTTGTTCGAATGTTATTGCAGTAATCGACCGTTGTGGTGGTATCGCGTTTTACCGCTATGCTCCACGACGAACCATCCTTCGTTTGGAGATTACCACCTCGCTTTTTAGTCGTGGTGTCGGTGTCACAGCCATCTATCAGGTAGGTGAAGCCTTTCTGGCAATCCTTTTCATGCAAAGAATCTCCTGGGGTCACCTCTCGCTTGTTGTTGTACCTTGGGCGGGCCATTCCCTCAATTATCACAATAGCAGGGTTTTCAGACGAAGTATACGTATCTTCAAAGGAATTTCCCCATGCCCATTGGCCACTACCATGTGCCTTTGTGCACCACTGTTTCACGAATCCCTGAAAAATACAAGTCAATTTGCGTTGAGATAAAAAGGTTCAGCGAAGCTCAGGCTTACCAAAAGTTCATCACGATTCACTGCGATGTTGCTAGGGTTCTTATCATCACCAGCACATTGCTTCGTAGAAACTGTAGTGAGATCCTTTTCATCTTCAAATGGCGCAGTCTCTCTGAAGAACTTGACAGCCTGTTCCGTCTGCCTTTTTTTTGAATTAACTGAGCTCTCTTTTTGAAAAAAAAATTCCCCCGGTCAATCAAGACTCTGGGATTTCAAGATGCTCTCCCAGGTGCCCGGGTTCTCTATTCTAGGCCTTGTTATAGTGTGGCTTATTCATTTTACAAGCCTAGGCTATACAGCCTATTCCGGTTCTCATAATCATTTGTACACACACCATCGAAGAGGCAAAACTATTCAAGATATCATTAATCACAGGCTCAATAATCGTGCTCATGCTTACGAAAGGCTGTTTTTGTGGGAGGCCTATAAAATCATTGGGTACGTTATGACGGAGAGATTTTCGCCTTCTCAGAGTATCTAGCCAATATTCCTGTTGTCTATGACCAAGTTTTCGGTATTTCAATAGTTATAGTCAAACTGAGGATTACATAATACAAAAGCTCATACTTCCTTACCTTTTGAAGCCTAACGGAAAACAACTTATCAAACCCGGGCTAGATAATCGATATGTGATATCTGTTAGCGTCTCGGCACAGTCGGCAAATTATTCTCTGGATTATCCTGAATTCATGCTAAAATTAACGGGCCAAAATACAGCGGTCCAGGCTTACCCTGACATAACTCCGCCAGATTCTGAGGATGATCTTGTGAGAGCGGAACAGGAGTTAACTAATAAACGTCTCAATTCTATGATTAAGATGGATAAAGTCAACCCTTACCTTACGATAGGTAGAAGCGATCAAATCCATACTCGATTTATTCTGAAAGTTACGAAAAGGGTGGTAGCGATCAGAGATAATGCGAAGAAGCCTAGTGTTGGGGATGTTTCCAAACGTCTTGATCGTGCCGAGACGATTAGGGGACGAATGGTACTACTCAGGAAAGTCTCGACAAATACCTGGCTGATCCAGCATCTATCCAGAAGCGATAGTTGGAATCTCCAAGACACTAAGGACAAGATAACCCGTACCACTGTTACGACTGTGGACGACGCAGAGACCGGAGTTCTAGGTGAAGACAAGATATCCAAATACCAAATAATCGACTTTCTAGCAACCTTTGTAGATTCACGCAACAAAGCAAAAATTAAAGAGAAGAAAATTAACAGTGGAGTTGATTTTGAGACCTGGGTGTGTTTCCCTTCTTTCAAGGTATCATCTTATTAGCCCTAGAGGTACTAACTGCATGTTGATACATAGGCTAATGAGCTTAGGGACGTTTTAACCAGTACCAATGGTCCTTCAGTGAACGATTTAAGTCATAGCCATTGGCAAGAGATCGCCGCTTAGGAAGATAAAAATTGGATAGATGAGTGTTGATCCTCGAGAGATTTGACGTTCATACTTAGTAAAATGGGAAGTACATAATGTCTCCTACTAGCTTTCAAGTTGCACGATCAGTGTTACCTCATTTAGAACCTAAGAGGTGCAAATGAGTGTAATTTTAAAGCTATCGTAAACACTTTATTACATATTATTCAAAATCTGTAGTGATGGCCAGCATCGAATCTCTCTCTCTGGAAACCGCAATTTCTGTTTAGAGTCAAGGGCATCTATCGAGAGTAGCCATTTTTTTTTGTTTTTTGGGGGGATTTTATTTTGAGAAAATCTTTCGAAAGGATTCAGGGTTGGAATGGTATTGATAGTAATAGTTTTGAATCTAATCAGTGCGACATACTTAACTTATCTACTGGTTTATAATACATATACAGCCTAGTTTGTGTATAAGCTTGTAAGTTTCAAAGTTACGGTACAGTTCCAAAGGTTCCCGTCGTATGTGGTGGGGCACTACTGCACCAGCCTAGGAGGGGCAAATGAATATCAAAGCTAAGTGGAAATTTGAAATGAGAAGAAAAGATAGAATAAAAGTTGACTTTGCCCCCTTCCTTTCCCTCAACATTGAACTTCATTTTCCCCACTTGTCACTGCACGCAGTACCAGCACCCCTGGCACCACTGCCCATACTATTTCCTAATGGCGGCTACCGAACATTCCGGTATCAGCCTTATGAGCCAATACAATATCGTTTTACCGAAAAGGCAGGCATTTGACTCTTCCGGCAAACCTATACCTGTATGCGACCCCGATCAATGTGCTTGGGCGATAAAGGGGGAGGATATCCCCGTCGATCTAAGCTCGTTTTGGCATCGCAGAGCAGTCATTCGTGGGATTCGTGATTCACTTCAATTTGCAACAAGCCCGGCAATTATTGAGCTATGCTCCGGCGACGATGATCAGGCCCATCGATTTTCCCGCGCCCGCAATGCTCGCCTGATAATGAGTAATATAATCCCCGATATGCAAAATCCTGCCACTCAGCCGTACTGTATATGGTATCCCGAGCTTGCATCAGAAGAAACATATCGCGAAGTTGCCCGTCAGTATCCGTCTTTGCGGTATCAAGTAGGCCGAGCGTGTGCTGCAGCATGCTATACAGATCTTTACAAAGAACTGGACCTTTTGCCTGATGTCTCTATTGCGGAAGAATCCCGCGAAGTTGACAAAGACGCCGCAATCTACAAGATTATCATGTCCGCCCCCCAACGATATGTTGTCATGGAAGATTTCTCTCGATCCGTTCATCTTGAAACCCCATGAACACCTGCGTTTCTGAATGGAGATATGAAGCCCCGATGGGCTTTGGGGCAGCGAGTGAAGCCCCGATGGGCTTTGTTAGGCCTGAAGGGGCAGCGAGTTGACCCTGGTAAAAATCTACCAGAGACGACTGCTGATGATATTGACATCGAGGAAGATGGATTTATCGGCTTGCAAGATATCAACTTGGAGGATATTAGCGAGGACTTCGCTAAACTGGGCCCAGGCCAGTCCGATCAATTGTGGATGCCTCTTCCGCCTGATCTCCCAGTTCTCGAAAAGCGTCTCCAGACACAGATGGCCGCGTGGGAAGGCAATGTGGATCGATACAGTCGACTAATGCATCCACGCAGGCTGAGAACCAAAGTTGAATATAATTGTGTTCTTCGTGGCATTTATCACAGTACAACCTTTGCCAGATGGTGGGCCTATCAGCTAGAAACAAACCCGGGACGGGCTATCCTCCCAGGTAAATTGCTTAGCCAAGGCAATGAACGGGAGTGCAAGGAGATTCGCACTGCGATTAATGCCCGCATGATAATGAACAATGATATCTCTGGTATCGACGATGACTCGGACTGCCTCCCGTGGGTTATATGGCTGCCCGTGAAGCCCTCTGCGACAACTTTAGGTGATCTGGTTCGAAAGTGTCCGTCCATGGGACACCAAATTGCGATCACATTTATAATGTGTGATTACGAAGGCATGTTCCGGAGTCTGAAGCCCCCCCTACACCAAATCATTGTATGTGGCTGCTAGGCGAAGTGAAAATCCATTCTACCTCCAATACCTTGAGGAAATCATGGAGCACGACATAACCCCCCCGGACTTTCACGACTTCAAGAACTTTGATCGCATTGCACCAGGCTTACAGACTGATCTGGAGCCTAGAGATTCTGTCACTGGTCACACTGTCAGCTACTATGACATGGAGCTCGGGTATGGGCAATATCCCGGTGCAAATGAATTCGAAGAAACTCCAGGTACATATGGAGGCGGGCTAGCGAGTGCGGGAAGGGTGGAGACATACATGTGGCTCTCAACTGAAATGGCACAGAGGTTAAAAGATGAACTTGGGGTGCTGCTCTGGGAAGGTGCGGATATTGGTCTTTTGGATGGCGATAGTGAACTTTATTCCTGGTCTTCACGCCGTATACAGCCCATGGATTCCAAGGTTGGTAGTATGTAGGTTTCGATATGTCGAATACAGTCAGTCCCTTTGATTTGAGTATTATCTGCCGGATATTCGCTAGCTTAGTTACCGATGGCAATATTAGAAGGTAGCACCAAAATTAATATCCAAAGGATAAATATCGACGGGAACAGGACGCTGTCTCATGCCATCCGTATCTTGACCTGTTGAGGCTGGTATGCGCCGCCTCAGGCATCCTAGGATGCTGCTGCAGGTTCGCCGTTTGCTCAGTAGTATTAGTTGTTCGTTCTCTCGCTTAGTTCTTCATCACACACACATCTCGTTCATTTTCTAGATTCATCATGACCACGCCCACTGAGTGCTCACTGAGCCTGAGCCTGAGCGACCTCATTAAAGCGGCGAGCACCAAATGAGGCAAGCCCACCCGTATAGTATCGCTAATAGCTGTGTCTAATAGAGTTTCATCAAGAAGGCTCTTGCTTGGGTTCCTTCTTAGTTTTCTTATTCCCTTTATAACCTGACCTCTATTCTAAACAAATTAATTAATCTACCTTACAATTATCTATCCTAAGTCCCTGTATCGCTATATTATAGCCTCCGAATATTTATCCTTAACTCAGAGTAGTAATATAATCAACGTCTTCTAAATTCTATATCAATATTGAATAAGTCTGGTATTAGGACCGGATCAGATATCTACCCTACTAGAGAGATGGTAGTGACCTTTCTGCATAAATGAAGTTATCGTACTCCTTTCCATTGCAGTAACACAGATTCCAACTTGAAGGTGGTGGGCCACAGGGTGGTCATATAGTGTGTGCGTATGCCAGTGTTCACACGAATCGCCCTTAATAACCACGACTCGGAAGCGCTGCTTCAAGTTTTATCCGAGCAATCTATATCACCAGGAGCGGCGTATGATGAATCTCGAAGACCGTAGAATTAAACCTAGAAACGCCGAAACCAACTCGAACGGGCTATTTACAGGACCGGTACTCATCAAAAGCAACAGTAGATAACGGGCGATAAGCGTAGCCTAGGTATTTCTTCTAAAGGCAGTAAAAATGTCAATCTCCAGCATCATTGACTAGCGTGTCGCCTGAACTAGCTTAGTGACCTGAGCAAGCCACTTCTGCGAAAACTCCTCTTCCGTAAACCGAAGTGCTGAGCGCCGAGCACGTTGCCTCATAGCAACCTTCTCCGCCTCTGGAAGCGCGAGCGCCGCCTCAAAAGCAGCAGCGAACTGCTCCTCTGTCTCGGCGCGGAAACCCGTCGCTCCATCGCCGAGGTCAATTACGATGTCCTCGCGTGGACCACCGGAGTCGTGTGTGACGCAGATCAAACCAGCGGCTTGGTACTCGACAACACAGATGCCGAAGTGCTCGTTCCACATGCCATTCACGCCAACGGAAGCGGTACTAAGGTGTGAGAGTACGGCAGGCCAGCTCGCGTCACAGAGGAAAGTAGTCTGGTCGCGGATGCGGAGTTCGTGGGCTAAAAGGCGGAGGTTGTAGATGTGGGTTTCGTCGGGGCTGGCGTGGCGGACCGAGCCGATCAAAACCAGGCGTGGTGGGGGGATATTTGCATAAGCGGGGTTGTTCTTGCGCTCTTGAAGGAAGCGCGCAAATGAGCGCAGAACCAGCGGATGATTCTTTTCTGGTCGAAACTGTGCGATATAGAGGAGTACGGGTTGGCGTGTTTTCTCGCTTTCGGTGTCGACTTTGATTGTCGATTCTAGTTCCGTGACGGCTGTCGGGGGGAAGACAACCGCTGGTGATGAGGCGGTTCCCTCGCCCGTGGTGGTGGCCTTGTCTTTACCCCAGATGGTGCGGATATGGGCAGCTGTCCAGGAAGAGTTGCACATCACAACATCGATGTGTCGGCCAACCCAGCCGTAAAGCTGTGCAAACAGCTGCCAGTATCGGCGCTTGACGGCGCCCTTCAGACCTTTGCCAGCACCGGAGTTGATACCCTGAACACCGGTTTTGTCGTCTAGCGAGGCAAGCATGTCGGTCGAAATGGTAGGATAGTGGACGTAGGCGCCAGTGGGTACCCCGGGGAAGAGCCACTTGCACATTGCGAGGGTAAAAGCGTAGCCCATGGTATCGACGAACACATCGGGAACAAGGAGGGTAAACGCATCGTAGGCAACTACCAGGGAGCCCAGAGACTGACCCAACAGTGTCATATATGGATATGAGCTGGCAACAACATACTTTCGTGTTGTCAAGTAGAGCAGCACAACCGTGGGGTTATGCAAGTGGATGTTAAATCGATTCTCAACCCGTTCCAACATAGTCGTCTTGTTCACCTCATGGTCTCCAGTGTAGATTGCGCAAATCGCCTTGGGCCAGCGCTTTTGTGTTGCGCGCACTGCCTCCCAAAGCACTCGTTCGCCGCCTCCGCCCGCATTACTATAAAGATGGTAAGGTAAGCAAGGAGGTCAGGAAAGAAGGTTTATGAAACAGGCCGGCCGTACCAAAATGGATGAAAGAAACCAACAATACCATCCCACTCGTCATCCCCACTTGCATCGCTATCGCTGCTGCTCGTAGTGTTAACCCCACTGGGGCCAGAGCTATCTACCTTCTCCCAGTCCTCGTCCTCGGCTTGGCTCCGGCCCAAAGAGTTAGACGAGGCCTTTGGGCGTGGTGCCCGATGTTCCTCCTCTTCGAATCGCGCCCGCGCGATCACATATTCACGGCGAGAACGGGTTCGTCGGCGAATCAACCAGCCTATACCGCGGAAGACGAGGCCAAGCACACTCCCCGAGAGTTGCGGCAGGAAGATCGCAGTGACGACTAAAACGAAAATAACGAGAATGGCGTTGGACAGGAAAGCCATGATCTCAGGTGTCACCAAGGAATGCGCATAGTACCATAGGAGGAGAGAAGTTGGAGAAGTCAACAAACGCCCTTTGGTCCCGCCGCATCAGTTGACGTGTTGCCTCCAGCGTAACTTACATACGCGATCATGTGATGAGACCCGCTTTGACTTCCGCGGAGCTTTGGTGCTCACTTCAACTTCAACTTGTCTCTATCCCACCTCACAATGAATTCCATTCGCTCACGGGCCTTGCGGACCTCGAGGACCTCGAGGCCCCAGACTTGGTTATCGCCTCTCCCCTCGCAAATTCGTCATTTCCATCCCTCCAAGCCCACCCGCAGTATCAACGATATTCTAGACTGCTCCGCAAGCTTCCTCCACGGCGTCCACTCCATCTCCCACCTTCCCTGGGTCGCATCAATTCCTCTCACAGCACTAATTGTACGAACATGTATTGGTTTACCACTTCATGTCTATACAAAAATCAATGCTCGCCGAGAAGCCGAAATCGCACCGCTAGCAAACAGCTGGGCGAATATTCACGCGGAGCATGGGAAAAGAGATGGCCTCACAAAATCCCAGATCGCAAAGGTGATCAAGATGAGACACAATGATTTACGACAGAAATGGGGTGTTTCATCATTCTCTCGCTTTGCCAGTCTGATTCAGATCCCGGTCTGGATTAGCTTGATGGAAAGTGTGCGCGGGATGTGTGGGAACACAAATGGATTAGTCCCATGGCTGCTCTCATTAACGTCCTCTGGAACTGATGGCGCTGAGCATTTGCATTTGGCTGTCGAACCGACATTCGCAACCGAGGGTGCCTTGTGGTTTCCGGACCTGTTGGCAGGTGACTCGACGGGCGCCTTGCCTGTGCTTCTCTCGGCTTCGATAATACTCAATATCCGCAACGGATGGCATACGACATCACGCAAAGAATTAGCAGATATGCCAAAATTACAGATGCTCCAAAATACTTTCTGGAGCGGGTTGCGCATATTCATGCAGGTCTTGGCGGTGAATGTCGGAGCTTCAACATTTTTCTATGAAATGCCGACCGCGCTCCTGATCTATTGGATCTCCAGTACCAATATTGCAACTCTACAGACCTGGTTCATGAACAAGTATATGTTCGCCAAGCCACCTCTACCAACTTGGTCTCCGAGATACACGCATTACAAATACCCTCAGTCGTCTGACCCTTATAGGGAGAAATTGCTGTGATTTGGAGAGGAATTTAATCGAAAACAATCAATCACAAGCATGGCACATCAAATGACCTGCCAAACTAAAGATGAGCCAACATGGAAATGCTCTCTGTCAAAAAGCGTCTAGTCGCTATTATAATTGCGGCAAAAACTCTGCCCAATTGCCTCGAATTCCCAAACGACCCATCCCTCAGCAAGTTGAGAACTTCCTGCCTCGCGAAGGACAGAGACAATTACAAACGGCAACCCCACTTCTCCTGGGTGTCGCATCAATAGGACACGGGGCGCTTTGTACATATATCACCAAGCCTGTATAATATCCAAAGGACCAAGCTCTTGTCCGAATGCCGTTTTCTAAGATCTCTGGTATTCTGAATACACATTTCATCTTTATCCTTCTCGCCTTTTCTGAGGAAGAAAAGTTAAGTATGGTTTGTCACAGCGATTTTTGGATGCAGATTTTTACATTCGTTCGAAATAAACATGAGACGCTTCCAAATAATTAAAAACGAGCTCTATCCTGGCTCTCACTTTCTATGGCTCGGAAACGTTTGAACCCCTCCAATGCCTCGGGGTTTTGCACCGTGGCACTGACCTTTACATCTTTGCCACCGATGATTTGCTTCACGGCTATTTCCACTCGTTTACCGTTGATGGTCATGGGTATATCAGACACTGACATCACAAACTTGGGTACATGCCTTGGTGACAACCCATTTCGAATTGCGGTTTTGATTTCATCGCGGAAAGTCTGAGTCAAGAAGCATCCAGGCTTCATCAGTAAAAAGAGGAATACCTGTTCGTCCGTGTCATTTGGTCTACGACGACCGACACAAAGGCAGTTGCTGAAATAGTCGGTGAATGGCGGTGCCTCAACAATGGCGTATATCTCACCGCTACCGAATCGTATTCCTGAAGGATCTATGACTATCAGCCCGTGGCCTTCAGACAATCTGTGAAATTTTGACTTACTGAGAACAGCATCACTTCGTCCATGCATGACATAGCCTCCAGTTGTTGGATTCCTCCTAAGCCAATCATGCTGTGCCCAAACGTCGATATTCGAAAAGCGCTCAAAGTATGCTGCTTTGTATAATCTGCCACCAGCATCACCCCAGAAAAAGCATGGCATACTGGGAAACGGTTTTTTCATTATCATTTCTCCAGCCTCGCCTGTATCTGCGATGGAATGGCCAGTCTCCGGGTCGACGATATCCACATCTGTTCCAAGACCAAGAACTTGCATTTCGCCCGCATGAAGGGGGCCGGATGGATCCATCGCGATGACATGTGTACCCGTCTCGGTGCCACCAGCAATATTGCATATCTGGACATCTGGAGGGAATGCCCTATAGAACCACCTATACTGCTCGTGGGAGAGAGGTGCACCAGTGGTATGGACAGTCTTGAGATTCGAGAGGTCGAAATCGTGTTTAGGGACTGCGCCAGAAGCTTCTATCTCCAAGAGCAAGCGAGGAGAAACACCCATGAATGTGAGCTTAAATCTATCACATATGCGAAGCATTTGTGTCGCATCCGGGAACAAGGGGCTTCCATTATAAACAACAAGAGTTGAACCGGCAGTCAAGTGGCCACACATGCCGTAGAAGGCAACCCATGACGTGCTAGTATACTGCATGACCGTATCGTTTGAACTCAAGCAGTTGTGGAGAACCGATATTTTCTTGGACTGCAGCACAATTCCGTGCTGGTGGACTATGCATTTCGGGGCTCCAGTTGTGCCAGAAGAATAGCATATCATCAAAGGGTAGTTGAAAGGGACCCTTTCGAAAATTAATTTGTCCGAGGGGCTTGATTTCTCGAAAAATGAATTCAGGCTTGCGAAATCTCCTTCATGGTCCACCGTGATTGGAACAACGTATACTTGAAGCTGAGGTTGAAGCTCAGCAACAACCCTCTGAATCTTCGGCACGGTAGAGACTGCTTTGCCTCGGTAGATAGAGTGGCTATCGAAGAAGAGAATACTTGGCGTGATCTGTTTCAATCTCGTTATACATCCTTCAGCCCCAAGTTCGGGACTTATAGATGTGAAAATAGCCCCCCATCGATGCAGCAGCATGAAACAAAACAATAGCCCACGGTGATGTCGCCACGATAGCCGCAACTCGATCTCCTTGTTTGATACCACTTCTTCTCAGTGCACTGGCAGTTTTTCTAATCCTTTCACGAAAGTCTCTCCAGGTCAAAAGGTCTGCATCGCTTCCGTAAATATCCTGGCCTTCGCGAATTCCAATCAAAGCAAGGGCATCCGGGTTGGCATTTGATAAAATCGCATTCTCCGCGTAGTTGATCTCATGCCCGCGAAAAACTCGGGGATGGAGCTCAAAGGCAGTTTTTCATCGTAAGCGATCTTGGTGGTTGGAGGAAGGGGAGGCGTAAGCTCCAAATAGGAGTATATATCAATCCAGAAATTGTGCGGCTCCTCGATAGACCACTCATGGAGAGCTTTTGTATTCTGTATCTTTTTTCCGAATTTTTTATTGACATGATGACGGTATTCGTTCATGGCTATTTTGCCTTGACGCTGCGATGGGTGCCATAGTACCTCGGGCTCAGAGTATTCGCTCGCCATGTTGGTGAAGACAGGGTAGATCAATTGGTAGGACGCAAATGGCTCTCAATAAGATTGGCTATCCTTGCAGACATGTAGATGAATCAGAATTTATATCCTTCGGATGATCAAAGTATTCTGATCATTGTCTCGGTATCTCCTTGTTGATTTCGGGAAACAGCACGTCATGAGGTCTTTCGGTAAACTCGGCATTCTCGGTAGTATGAACAGCTTAAGGTTCAAGCTACGTAGTATGGAGTCATTAGGAGGGGCCTAGCGGGATCTATGAAGAGAATGCGTAAAAGTTTTACTTCGCCCTCAGGCATTCTCTAAGAAGGAATTTCGAAGGCAAAATAGAATTATGGGCTCCAATGTGACATAATTTCGAGTGTTTGGAGATAAATTATTGAAAACCCTCAGAGGCGGACAAAATCTATGAGATTCTTGGCTCTGAACGTGAATACCTATATATCAATGATGATACTAGTAGACCAAGATATGAGTCAAGGGCTAGAAGTAGTATACTAGTACAGGCATTTTCGAAATTTCCTTGAATACCTGGGCAACTTGAAAATATGCTGCCATCGAGACCTACCTTCTAAGCACGCTGCCAAGGCCTCAACGCGGATCATTCATTGAGCGGGCCCACGCTTAGTTGAGGATGACTGTATAATAGTAAATCTTGTAGTATATCTTGGGGTATGGAATTTCATCTTTGGTATTGTGTCTCCCTAGAAACAACCTGAAGCTTTACGCGTCCAGGACCAAGTCACCGGTCGGGCCAACACAGATAACATGCCCGAAAAGAGCATCACTAGCCTCATGCAGATTCGAACAATCCTCATTCACCCAACGGTTATACTCCCGAACTGCCGAGAGAAGCAACCACGGTTTCAAGTCCAACTCCCGTTCAATCGAGTCGCAGGTATCCCCGTCCATTAGGGTGTATGTCTTACACCTAAACGGGATACACACCCTCGTACCTTCAGGAATAGCGAAACAGTCGATAGGCTGCCAGTTCATGCCTTTGACATGTGCCGAGGCAACATTGAACTGGGTCGCGATGCTGTTGCATGTATCCCCTGCTGAAGCAGTGTATAAAAGATTGCTCGCGCAGTGCCCGCCGGGCCCGAAGTACGAGGTCTGCTCTATATGTGGGCTTTCAGAAAGAACGAGATTGGGCATGGCTGTTGGGAGGTTGAGATTGCAGACGTAGTTGATGTGTTCAAGGTTCAATTTGTCGTTTCTGTCATAGAGGGAGTATGGGGACGTTTGCTTCATTTGGTGTCGTTGCACGTTGCAGAAGGAGCAAAGTTCTTCAACCGGCGTTTCATGGATGGGAGAGCTTTTGAAGCCGTCGATAACATCTGCACTCATAATGTAAGTGAGAACTATGCCTTTAACAGTCAAGACGGATGAAGAAAGCAGATCCTACCACCACAATATCTCTCTGTCTTCTCATCCCTAAGACAGGTCTCGTTCCACCCCGCCCACAACTGCCCACCCCGCTTGGCCGGAATGAGAATCCTTTCCTCTAATGCTGTGCAATCGCGCTCGACGCCCTCAAAATACGTGGCGATGGACTCTCCGCACCCGCTGTGACAGACAAGATCGCTGAGTGTGTCATTTCTCAGACCCAGACCCCACCTCTCACGCGCATACCGCTGCCCCAGTGATCGCGTCTTCTTGTGACAGTGAATCCTCTGTGTCATGGATGTCCTACATGCCGGGCTGAGTTTCGCAAGCGTTTTGGCGTCAAAATTGTGAGATTCCCTCCATAGTTGGAAGCCACGGAAATCAGGCGGGGAACTTGTTTCATCCACGGAAGTTTCTAGTTTATGTCGGTGTTGATCAGGGTAATGCACGGCGAGCTCGGGTTGCCTTGCTAGTTGGGCGAACGTGGCACCGCACAGCATGACTGAAGCACATAGTATACCAGCGCCTCTCATATTGATGCAACAACTCTAAGCGACTACGACACTCGCTCTGTGTTATCGATTTATCTGATATCATTCTCTAGAACCGGGGTGGAGGGGTTTTTATGAGCCTCAAACTTGAGTCCTAGAGTCGTACTCGTATGGATTGGAGGGAGCACGCCAGCGAACTTAAGCGAGATGAGAAAGCCAGACTTCCTTGGTCAATGCGCGATGATTCGCCCTGAAGCTAAGATGGCTTGCCGCCAAGCTAATAGCTTCCTGAATCAAGGGTCTGCGCTAAGGGCCTAGGCAGTGGGGCCAGGAAAGAATTTCTCAATGTGTGTTGGTCAAAGCAATTTTTTAGCATTATTGTGAGTGCTTGAATTTAAGAAACTAGCATTGATACGAAAGAGTCGCATTATGTGGGGGATAACAGCTATTTGACCCAACTCTCACTATAGAGATATATCGGAATCCCGGTACTCCTTCGAGAGCGTTTTCTTCTTGGGAAGCTTTCTTGTTTAGCCTCTTAAGTTGTACAGACAGCCCTCCCACTAGTAAAATAGTAAGAGCGCAGGAACTAGAAATATTTTGTTAGCGAGAAATATGGGGCAAAATGTTCGAAACTTACGTTAGACAAGCATATATGCCGGGAAGGTATTTTGGAGCATCCTGAGATCTAAAGACCAATGCACCAGTAATGCCGCCTGTGCCCCCAAATATCACCATGCTGGCGCTTGAAAAAGATCGCTTCCATTGCCCACAGATATTGTTCGCCTGCCATGCCATCACACATGGGAGCGAACTTTGTGAAGCTGCTGTGACAAGGAAAACACCAAAGTACTGTATCCCTGATGATTTAGTCCAGGCCATAAGACACAAGCCGCAAATGCTCTGCAGACAGTTCCATATAATCAAAGGACCTCGAGAGCGATACTTATCACCCAACCAGCCCTCGAAAAACATGAATGCCGCAGCAAACAGGTAAGGCGGGGTGCTTAGAACTTGTGATATACCGACGTCGAATCCCATTTCTCTATTCAAAATAATTGGTAAGAAAAAGGCTATCGCATACGCGATCACAGTGTTGGCACTTGGATGCAATTAGTACAGATGGTCTTTGAAAATCACCGATCCAAAACTTACTAGAAAATGAAGCAATAGCCCCAAATCTTAAGGTCCAGTGCTGGCGTCAAAAAGCGGCGCCAACTGAACGGCTCTTCTTGAATGTCCGGTCGGTCGCTTTCGAGGATTCGAATGATGTGTTTAATTTCTTGAGGACTGAGGAACTTCCAGCTATTTTGTGCCTTCTGGGGAAAGTCGACGATCAAGAACGCACCAATTATTCCGATAAAACACGTTAGTACTCCCTCCCAGATAAAAATATACCTCCACCCCGACAGACCTCCGACACCATTCATCTGCATGAAGCCGTAGGCAAGAACACCTGAAAAGGAAGAACCCGCCAGACTAATTAAATAGAAAGATGCATATCGCTTATGCACGTCATCTGAAATGTATCAGTAGAGATGCGAAGACTCGAACAGAAAAAGAAAGAACAAGATAACCTACAACGGCGGTACCACATTTGCAAGAGAAGAATTGTTCCAGGGAGCAATCCAGCCTCAAAAATGCCAACGAGTACCCGAAGGGCAACAAGCTGTTTCCAGTTCTTTACGAAGCCAAAGCAGAGCATTATGATTCCCCATAGAAGAACAGCACCCGGTAGAAAGATACGCGGGCCTAACTTCTGCACAAGGATAGCACTAGGCCATTGACACATGACATGCGGAACGAAGAACATAATAATGCTAAGTGACTGGTTCAATTTAGCTTGCTTTCATTTCCCAAATCATCCAATGGTCACTTACATAGCGAAACCCTTGATCCAGTTCGAGCTCCTTAGACATCCCAGCAATATTTGCAGAAGCAAGGTTAGTTCGGTCCATCAAAGATACCGCGAACATGAGACCAAGTGCCGTGATCAAACGACGATCAATTTTGCGAACAATTTTCTTTTCCTCGGACGGTGAACTTTCATCTCCATTGAATTCATGCGGTGCCAGAATGGCCTTCTCAAGGTGTTCGGTCATTGCTTTTTCGGTGTCGGGATTATTTGTCTTCATGTTGCAGAATCTGAATCACTTTTTGGGAATGATTTGAAGATCTTCGCTTGACTGGGGGCGGAAAGTTAACAAATGTGTCACCCCCGGACTTTTTCATGTCGCATCTCGGCAAGCTCGGTAGTGGTACAAGAAGCGTCCATGCCGAAGCGGAAGCTTGTAAGACCTCCCCCGCATTTTCTACTCCATTATCAAAACTTAAACTAGATAGTTGTGGCTCGGTAGCTGTAAGCCTGCCGAAAATCTCGGTAAGAAGGATGATGGATAGAAGGTGTTCGGCATTCACTTAACGATTAATAGATTCCCAACACATTATATAGTATCTCATGGAATCAAATATAACCTAGTAGTGACTATCTATCAGATTCTAAGGTTGCTGGATACTTCAACTTCTTCCAAGATATTGATATTTTCCTCTTGAACAATTCCACGACTAAGTGAAAGCAAAATGTCTGGCCCTACAGTCTACGACCCGAAGGACAAGCAGTTGGCGCTGGATTTCGCCTATATGGTAAAGACATCCAAAAGTTAAACAAATATAAGGTGGTGTTGATGACTGACAATATCCAGTATGGCTATCCTCTCCTAGAGTACGGAAAGTTTGTAGCTCAAATGCCAAATCCGACTACAAACAAGCTGAACCATGGCCGACGGCTTACGACATCTAAAGATCACCAAGTGATCCGACCTAATTCGGATACACTTTATACAACCATCTTCATGGATCTCTCGTCGCATGATCTACAGATTGAAATACCTAAGATTGAAGAACGCTACTGGTGCTATTCATTCTATGACATGTTCGTGTATCGTCAATTTTGCAAAAGCTTAGCTTACTGACGGTCTTTTACAAGGTATGGTAATAATATTGCCAATATTAGTAGCCTTCAGGGTCATCGCGCAGGGAGGTGGTTAATCCGCTATTCTGATAAAGACTTTGGTCTTCACATTGGTTCGCCATCGGAAGCGGACTATGAAGGATACGCCAATCTTCCCACTCCGTATGGCATATCCATCGCGCGTTTCGCGACGGATCAGTCAATCTCAGATCAAACCCTCGTGAATAAATATCAGAGTCAGATGCAACTCGTTTGTATTCCACGAGCTGAACCTATCGCGCCTCCCTTTCAGCTATCTATCTTCACAGCTCCTGAAAACAGTGCCTCTGAAAAGGTTTCTATCGCTGAAGCCGTCATGCGCTTGACTGCAAAGCTAGCACCGCATAATCTGTCTCCGATACTGGGGGATAGAAATTGGATTGCCCTAGCTCTGAAGCAAAGCGGCATGGAGAACGGCGTTTTCAACTGTGCCAACGGAGTCGATATCTCACATGTGTATGATAGCGCTGAAAAGAAAGCCCAGGCTGATCTCGATGCAGCTGGCGGTAGCCTCGACCACGGAAATGGCTGGAGTTCTGCGTATCCTGAATACCTCGGAAACTTCGGCTCACACTATGGGGCGAGGTATTCAATTGCCAAGCGGGGCTACTTGGCCCTAACAAGTGATCAGGCCATCTACCCATCGCTCTCGCGCGCTTTGAAGCTTCAACCTGACGAGGCGGTCTTGCTGCGATTTTCTCGTAAGCCGGTTCTAGTTAAGACGGGATTCTGGAGTCTGACTGCATATGATTCTGAGCAATATCTTGTTCCGAATGATATCAATCGGTATTGTCTTGGTGACCGCGACAACATGACATTCCCGGACGGAACTGCGCTTGGTGAGAATGGCAAGGACGGCGAGTTTTATATTTTATTGCAGCCTGCAGATATTTCACCACCAAAGGAATGGAGAAATAATTGGTTGCCGTCTCCGGCGGGAGGAGGGAAGATGTCGATCACGCTGAGATGGTATGGTGCCAAGGAGGAGATGATGACCAAGGCTTACGAGTACCCTCGCTTGGAGTTCATCAAAACAATTCCTGAGCCAACGAAGTCGGTATTGTGAATTCGATTCAGTTTTGCTATTGCTTCTTTGAGTTGATTTTTGTAAGCCGTTGGCTTGATAAGTTCAAGTTGTTTCATAATATAATCGTGACTCAATCACTCATTTTTGACGAATTGAACAGTAGAAAGGGTTTCGAGTATCAGCCAACACTTTTCTTGTTTTTTCAGTGCCGTGAAATTAAAATTGAATGATTTTGGATAGTTTAGGGGCACGGGTTGAAGTCGTCCAAATTAAAAAAGTTCTCAATGGACCAGTCGGTAAAATTCTCGAAAAGCCCACTAGGAAACTCATCCGTTTCCATTGTGTAGAGTAAATCCATCCTCGGACTTATCTCTTTTTGAAATGGGAACAATTCGTGAATTCTTGGTATCGTCGCATAGGTCCTCTCATTTGACGACCAGGGATATTTGCTGGGTTCGTGTAGTCCAAATAAAGCATTGGAGGAAGCACCGTGAGATATGATCTCGGTTCTGAATCTTCTTATCTTTTCAAGAACAGCTCCTGCCCCGGGGAACTTGATTGTTCTCTCTGCCATGATCTCGAGAAGAATATCCAGCTCTTCAAGGGATAGAGGGTCAATGCCTGTATCGTGCTCTGCAATTGTGACTGTGTTATTTTCATGGCGTAGGCTGCTCAATTGTGGAAGAGAGGCTACCATCATGGACCAGTTGTTGATAGGCATCAGGTAATTGATGTCATCTCGATAGTCCATTTCTTGGTATAGGCGGATAATACAAGAAGATGCGACGAGGGTGATTGTGGATATTACCGAAGGATGAAAGAATCTGCCATGCACATGAAAAAAGGATATAACACAAGTAAAATACCAAGTGAGAATCTCATAGAGAGCGCGATCATATATCAGTATCCCTGAGTTATCAAAGATATGAAGGTGCAAGGTCATATTCCCAACCCAATCTTTGAGTTCCGAGAGAATGGCTAAGGCCTTTTCGGAAGTTGCCGTCGGATCACGCTGCTGGAGAGGCAACATCTGTGCCAATATCGTCATCAACTTTGTGTAAAGAACAAACTGAAGAGCCTGTCCATCTTCGGGATTCTCGAAGTCAGTCACCGAAGGTGGGTGTAGATCAAAGTCTTGTAACTGAATCATTTGAGGTCGTCCGAAACAAATTGTATGCAGTTTGTCTTGTGCATATAGGAACCAGGCTATGCGGCGAGCACAGCCGGGTGAGGATCTCTGTGAATAGGTTGACTCTTTATGAAGTCCGATCTGGAAGGCAAAACGAATGGCGAGTCCAAGCCAGCTCCAGCCAGAATCAATTGTCACAACAGCCGGGGGTGTGACAGTCCATAGCGTTAGTAGACATACGGATTTGAGTATAGTAAGTGGATCATGCTCATGATTCGAGTAGAAAAGGGCCTTGGCTCTCGCATAGAACCTTTCACTTTCAACGAGGCTTTTTGTTGATTTTGGGTGACGGAGGACAGAGCCAGCCAAGCAGAGAGATTGCTGCAGAAGAGTCGACGAGCAGACGGAGGCAACGTCTTGATGGTCCACCACTGGGATTCGATGATACAAATATTTAAAATATAAGGAGCTCAGAGCTTCCGTCAATGATTTGGGGGGTAATTGATCAGCCCCCGTCGATGTTTGTATTTGTGCCTCGATGCATTTAGATAGAACCCCAACTACAGCTGGAGTTTCGCAAGAAAGTGGGCCTTGGGTAGATAGTACTGAGAACTCTCCTATATAGCCCTGGTTGTCCGAAGTGGCCGGCGACGAATGAACTGGAAGAGCAGAGCCTGGGATTTGTTCGGGAAAGCGGGAAACTTCCCCATCCTGTATTAATGAGGGTGATGGCGAGGTTGTCCCGATACTGTCCTGCGACGAGAGGCCAGACGTCACGGGGACTTGGGATGGTCGGTGACGCTGGGGCTTTGAGGGCTTCGGCTGTTCTCTTTTGCGGCAGATCTCGGCGCGCTTCTCGCAGTTTGTGCAGATTCCTCCATCGCGGAGGTGCAGAATCAAGTCACATTTGACTTTACGTGCATGACATCGTTGACATACCACCCTTGAACGGCTCCGGTGTATTTGTCGGTTTCCAGGAGATGATACTGCAGCCATTGCAGTTTGAATGCAAAAATTATTTCCACGATGCCAATCATGTAGGTTGTTGAATGTTCAACGATCATTCTGAGCATTTCCCGCGACTTCGCCGAGGTTAGAAAGGTCCAGCCCCTCTCTTGCGGAGGTTTCCACTGTTTGCTGGTCAAGCCATCGCACATACCCCTCACGGACCCACCAAGCCCAGCAACTTGAGGCATCGGATGATATTTTCGACTCTTCAAGCTTGTATACTTAGTTAGTTTAGAAAGCCAATGTGAGTCAGAGTTTCGGTAATTGGTGGCTAGCTAATGGCTATTACAGCATGATATCAGCCCGAGTATGTTCAAAATACTTGTAACACTGGTATGTAGTATAAATTCAGAGCTCGGCATTTATCGAGACATTGTTTGCCTTCCAGGTCCCGAAGCTACGAAAACTGCATAAATACCAAGCAAAGAAGAGAAATCGAGTCAGTGCCGGTACTGAACAGCACCGAATACGTCCCAACAACGAACGCGTAGCAGTGGATACCTTTCTAGATACTAGATCAATTGTCCCTAGGCCGGGATCCAGAATATTTCTTTTCCAATTCTTTTCAACTTCTCAGTAACTACTAGTATTACTTGGAGGTGGATGATACCAGATGCCTCCATCTTGACGGCCTAGTAAATTCATGTTGTTGCCAAGGTCACCAAGTTCCAAGAGGGGTACTGTAGATAGGCTGAAGTCTCAAAGGCTAAGTCGTATCTCAAATTACTGGCTAAGATTTAGTTCATAGGAAAGGCGTTCATCGCAAATGAACTCGGAGAGATTGGAAAGTGTCGCCTTCGCGAGAGAACTAGAGGCCTCACTCTTGACATGCCATGCTTATTTGGGGGCGGAATGGGTGAGATATGCTCAAGTCATTCGAAAGAAAATCTAGTCGTAGCAGAGGGTTGCACCAGATACGGAGGGAATAGTGGATTCTAATACTGTCTACACCGTCATCCAATCTATTCTCTGCGAGAACCTTGGAAGGAACCTATCCCACTATCAGTCTCTCTGTGCAACGCTGGGCATGTTGACGATGTTGACGATAAGAACAAGCGAACCTGCCACCATTTAATTTAAACTTGAACCCATTGAACTTGAATCAACGTCAGTGCAGTGTTCTAACCGCAAGAGATATAGATCCTGTAACCAGACCCACCAGGGATCAATATCCAGATTGAAATTTCATTAAAAATGCCAACGCCTTGTCGGCCAGTCTGTGCGTCTTGATCATGTAACAGGGATATTCCCCGACTCCCTCCATCATCCAGCCCCCTCCTAGCCCCCTCCTCGCAGTTTCTCGCAGTCTCGTGGGCGGGCGATTGCGTGGCGGCGCCACTGTTGTGAGGCGTTGCTGGGACAACCAGATGATCTCACCAACCATTTGGTGCTGAGATGCAGATCGGCCTCTCGGCAATCTATTTTGTTCTTCCACATTGGTAGCCCGCTAGCCAATAATAAATTAAAGTAATATAATTTAGTTGGAAATAGGCAACCAGCGCGGGTGATTGGTGACTCCACACGCCATCGAAGGTCGAGACTGTGTGTGTTAGTGTTAGTGTTAGTGCTAGTGTTTACATCCACCTCGGACTGCGCACTTCTGAGCTTCGGCCGATCACACCTGGTCCTGCTTCTCGCCCTTTCCTTTCTGCTGTCTTCTACTCTTGAAGGAAAAAGGCAACCCCCCTCGACTTGAGAGAGCTTCAAGCTATACCAACCAAGAGCTGCAATCCATCCCCTTCTTACCCTGTCAACCGCGTGGCACCATGATTGCCGATCCTGGAATGCATTCTTCCCCTTGATAGATTGTGTCTCAGATTCCCAGTCGTGATGGAACGTCGACGTGTCAAGCGCAGGCCACTGGCCACCGTCCTCTTACTAGCTCTCCTCGACTCCGCTACAGCTATCCCATATACTCCATCCTCGATATTCCTATCCCCGCAACACAATGACTCGCTTGCCTATATCTTGCGCCCCGACTCCGATGCGGGCAAGACGCAGTTCCTCTCCCTCAACATCTCGGACGTCGATACGAGCAGTCCATCCTTCAATACCTTGCTCGATCAGACCCCCTTCCAGAGCACGGAACAAAGCTCGGCCTTTATCCCCGCCATCGATGACCGAGGAATCATTACGGTCTATACTGGAGACTGTCATAACTCAGATCAAAGATCATTATGGCGATTCAAACCCGACAATGGCAGCTCCATCGGCAATGGAACCTGGGATCAGATATCCATAAGCCCGGACAACAAGAAGACACAGCCAAACTACCTGGCCGCTGGATTTGCATTCGCGACGAGCAGTAACAGCGACACTTCGATGTACTCATTTGGTGGGATGTGTCCATTCTCAAATAGTACGGATGAAACCTGGATATCGGCTGCAAACTACTCCCAAACGATGGTCACCCTGGCGCCAAAGTCTAAAGGGAGCAAGGAATATGAGGCCGCCGTTACTGGAGATCGAGCTCCCCCCGTACCCGAAGCGGGAATGGCGGTTGTTCCGCTGGCACCTTCGTTTTCGCCGACGGACGTTCAGCGAGACTTTCTGTTCATTGGTGGACATACTCGACAGGCCTTTCTCAACATGTCTCAGTTGGCCATTTTCTCTGTTCCCCAGGAAAGCTGGAGTTTTGTGGACGTGAATACGGAAAGTAAGCTACGGACCGAGCTGGCGATTCGCGATACTTCTACTGTGGAGCCGCGATCTGGTCATGCAGCTGTACTATCTGAAGATGGCCAAAAGATTTACGTGATTGGAGGTTGGGTTGGAGATACCTCTACGCCAGCTGAGCCGCAATTCGCCGTTCTCGAGCTTGGAGCGGGATATGGCGGCTCCGACGAATGGACTTGGACGGTCCCATCTTCAACTACTACTTCCGAGGAACTGGGCATTGCTGATGGGGCCGGGCTGTTTGGACACTCTGCAGCTTTACTTCCCGGCGACGTTCTGATGATTGCCGGAGGATACAGTATTCCAAAACAATCCTCTAAGCGTGCAACCTCATCGCAGCACAACTCTCAAATCTACCTCTACAACGTCACTTCGAGCAGCTGGGTGAAGTCTTACTCAAACCCCTCTACCTCCAAAACAGCTTCATCAGCTAGCTCGAAATCACACAGCGGTGGTTTCTCCTCCGGCCAGAAAGCTGGCCTGGGCGTCGGATTGGGAATAGGCATCCCCATCGTTCTCCTTATCGCACTCTGTGCTTGGAAATATGACCGCAAGCGTCGAGTAAAGGGGCAGCGAGATTCGCAACTTCGCGAACTCGCCCTAGGAGCCGAAAGAGCTCATTTCTGGGGTCGCGATGATCCGAACCAAGCGAGCAGTATTCGCAGTTCCCAAATGAGTGAGAGACACGACAGTGGCCTTGCATACTCCTGGTCAGGAAATGAAAGCCTCAGATCAAAGCCGTCCTGGAAGCCGCGAGACCAAACCGACGCTGCTGCGGAACAGACTGGTCTGCTGATGGATTCCAGTCCTGCGAAGAACAACCGCCCGGTCGTCGGTCAGCAGCGACCTTACAGCAACAACAGAATGTCCGGGTGGGAACGCCGTCGAAGCGAAGCCGCTAGTGATATCCATCCCATCGACGAACGGGAAGAAGACGAGGCCATTTTCCGAGAACGATTGATGGCAACGATTCCTGCTCAGGAGAGACCGAAGATACATGACGCCGACGACCCATTCTCCGATACACCCTTCTCTACCCCGCGCAGCACAATCTTCGGCGTCGGCTTAGGACCGTTCTATACCAGCCGCAAGGACGGCGCATCCGTCGACGATGCATCAAAGAGTGACCGGACCTCAACAAATCTATCAGACTCATCAAACTTCTCCTTCTCATCAGCCAAACCAACCGGCCAGGTGAACCAAGCAAGAGGAGTCGTCGTGGACCGCCCTCTAAGCTGGGCAAGCAGTGGCGGACACTCCATCACAGCAGCTTCAACGCATAGCAGGGAAACGACAAACGGCGACGGCGACGCAATGACCGCACAATCTGAAAAGTCATATTCAGCAGACTCCTACTCAACGGCCCAAAGCACATTCTCCCACCGCCAAGCAGAAAACGAATCCCTCCTCAACGACACCCTCGACACCCCCATAACCCCCGTCGACTCATCATCCCCCTCCAAACTCGGCCCAGCATTCAAACCTCGCACTTCGGACTGGATGCTCCAAACAGTCCGTCGAGCACTAACAATCACCCGCCGCGGAACAACCAGTCTAGAAGAAGACGAATCCGCACCCCTAGCCTCTGGCGTCGACCGCCGAAGCACAGTCATAGTGTCAAATCCCCAGTACGGCGGTGCTAGCGGAACAAGTACTCCCCGTCGCGCCGTTAGTGCATCAGCAGAACTCTTCCGCCGCAAGCAGGGTGCTAGAGACTGGAATGCGAAGAAACGAATGTCGGATGGTGGTCACTTTGCTGGTCCGCGCTCTACTCGCGATGATCTTTACGTCGGTGCTCCGGGGTATCTCGGTAACGATGATACTTGTGACGAGGACTGGGATGTTGAAGGTGCGGCTGAGGATCGCAATGTTCAGATGACATATACCGTTCCGCGTGAGAAACTTCGCGTCGTGAATGGTAATGCTAGTGATAATATCTCCGAGCGCTCTGTTAGTCGGAGTGCTAGTGCTGGCACGCGGATTGTTAGTCGGTAGATGAAGTGAAAAGGAGTGAAGTGACCTGGAAGTATCTCCTCCTCGACTCGACTCAGCTTCTGCCGATTTGTTCTTCATTTGACTAAACTTCTTGGTCCTCGCTTGACTGGGGTTCTTCTTTTTTTTCGTTTCGTTTCGTTTCCCTTTTTTCTCACTTCTCTTGTATCTTTGACTTTACCTTTGACTTTGACTTTTCTCAGCGTGCGATGATTCCCTGATGACTGTTTCCTTTTCGGAATGATTGTACAAGATGCTCTTATGGTTACGGATGACGATCGTTTTTTGTGTACAAATGGATTGGTACCTTGTGGTATGCTTTTTGTACAGTGTTGTATGGCTGCATAGCCTATGGTGTTTGGATTGGCCTGTCCAGTTCAAGTTCAAGTTCAGGCTTGCCTTTCGATGGCTGCTGTGCCTGGACCTGGGTTGGCCTGGGCCCCCTGTGTGGAGTGATCGGGTTGCTGGCGCTTTTCTAGATACGATTCGAGTACAAAATGAATTCTCTGGTACTAAATTTTTAATGCACTAAAATGGTCTCATGAACTAGGTAGTACTTCTAGTGGTATACTAACTAGGGCTTGATGTTGCTTCTCGAATAAAAAGGTATTCATTGATTCATTGCTCATGCATTCCAATTCAATAATTTTGTTTTCGGCCCAACTGGAGGCTATACAGGATATATCAAACTCCAAAATGAGAATACTTCAGGACCAAACATGTATCCGAAAGTGTGAAAATTGCAACAGTAGGAAAAGGAAAGGGGGTGGGGGAAAAACAAAACGAAACGAACACTCGTCAAAAATGATATCTATATAACGTCTCATGGCCCATGACAGACTTCTGCTTTTAGTTTAGTTGGAAATCAAAACCATCACATCCCATCACATGCACATCTAAGCACCGTTGGGAGCAGTAGCCGGCTTGGTGGGCAGGGTCGAAGGCAGCGGGGGGAGGAGGTTCTTAGCGCTCTCACGAGCATACTGAGCCATGAGGGCATCCATAATAACGAGCGAGGACATAGCCTCGACGATAGGGACGGCACGGGGAACGACGCAGGGGTCGTGACGACCCTTGGCCTCGAGGGTACCCTCACCAAAGTCGTAGGTGGCGGTAGTCTGGGCCTGACCGATGGTGGCAGGAGGCTTGAAGGCGACGCGGAAGTAGATGGCGGCGCCGTTGGAGATACCACCCTGGATACCACCGGAGTTGTTGGTCTTGGTGGTCAGGCGCTGGGTGCCGTCGGCGGAGGTCACGGTGGTGAAAGGGTCATTGTGGATGGAGCCGGGAACCTCGCAGCCGCCGAAGCCGGAGCCGATCTCGAAACCCTTGGTGGCGGGAATGCTGAGCATGGCGTGGCCGAGCTTAGCCTCCAGCTTGTCGAAGCAGGGTTCGCCCAGGCCGACGGGAACGTTGCGAATCACGCAGGTCACGGTTCCGCCGATGCTGTCGTGGTTGTCGCGGTACTGTTCGATCACCTTGGTCATGCGCTCGGAGGCAGCGGTGTCGGGGCAGCGGACGGGTGCGAACTCGTCGACCTTTTCGCGAGTGATGGTTTCGAGTAGCTTGAGGTATTCGGGGTTGGTGGAGGCGGTAGGGTGTTCGGGGGTGGGAGGGTAGAGGTGCTCGTTGCCGACGGAGGAGACGAAGCAGACGATCTCAACGCCGTGCGACAGCTTCAGGTACTTCTCGGCGATGGCACCAGCGGCGACACGGCCTGTCAACGATGTTAGTTCGATGTGCTCATTATTGACTTGATATAATGACAAGTAGCTTACCAATGGTCTCACGGGCACTGCTACGGCCGCCACCGCTGCTGGCCTTGACGCCATACTTCTCGAGGTAGGTGAAGTCGGCATGGCTGGGACGAGGGTAGAGGTCCATTGTGCTGCCACCGTAGTCCTTGGGGCGCTGGTCCTCATTACGGACCAGCATTCCAATGGGCGTACCCAATGTGACTCCAAACTCTGTACCGGATTGAATCTCGACTCGGTCCTTCTCGTTCCGCGGGGTAGTCAGGGCACTCTGGCCGGGACGACGGCGGGTCATTTGAGGCTGGATATCATCCTCGGTAAGTTGCATGCCAGGAGGAACACCATCGACAATGCAGCCGACTGATCGGCAGTGCGATTCACCATAGCTGGGCGAGGGTCAGCGAACGAGGACGAGAGTCAATTGTGGAGGGGTAATCATACGTGGTGACTCGGAAGTGTTCACCCCACGACGACATGATGGGCGAATGAATTGGAGTGAAGGCGGGTGGGAGATGAATGAGGGTAAGAAAATAGGAAGAGAAGAGAGGCAGAGAAGTGTGAAATGCTCTTGAGCAATTGACTCAGAGCTGCAGGCCAAAAGCAAAAGCAAAGAAGACTTGTGGAACGCGACGGGCAAAAGAAAATCGACTCATGGTTGCCTCTTTGGGACTAGCGCCCCCGAGTATCGGCTCCGCAGTTTCCTTCTCCCGTTGATTATCATTGACTTCGTTGGTATTTGATATTGATTGACACTTCACCCTCCAGCTCCTCAAATGCTGGCCAGGTCCTGTGCTTTTGCCCGGCTCAACGCCAGATCCCAATGGGTCCGCTATAATTCGTCTTATCCCATCCATCGCTTCGCCGAGCTCGCTAGTCGCCCATCCTCGCGCCACCAGATCTATCAGTCACTATCGACAGACCCTTACGTCAATCTATCGATTGAGCACTTCCTACTAGAGAAAGCCCCAGCCGACTCGAGTATCCTCTTCCTCTATATCAACCGACCATGTGTTGTGATCGGTCGCAACCAGAACCCCTGGCTTGAGACCGATCTCCGCGTCCTACACAATGATCGCCGGCCCGAAAATAAAAATACACCCCAGGACGATGCGGCCGTTTTTGTTCGGCGACGTTCCGGCGGCGGAGCGGTCTTTCACGATGAAGGGAATCTCAATTATAGTGTGATTTCACCCCGAACATCTTTTACCCGGGATAAGCATGCGGAGATGGTGGTTCGCGCGTTGCATCGCGTTGGAGCCGTCAACACCAGCGTCAATGTACGACACGATATCGTCATGACCCCAGGGGAAGAGCTACAAAAGGATCCCCATGAGCCTCCTACGCGCAAAGTCTCCGGGTCTGCCTTCAAACTCACCCGCCACCGAGCTTTACACCACGGTACTTGTTTGCTGGATTCGCCCAATATCCACGACTTAGGTCGATTCTTGCGCTCCCCGGCTCGCGGACTCATTCAGGCACGAGGCGTGGATAGTGTTCGGTCACCCGTCGGCAATGTCTCGCGCGATGTGGCCGACTCGTTTTTCTCAATGCAGGCCGTGATGGATAATGTCATTGAGGAATTTGCGCGCCTTTATGGAGTTCACTCTGATGCTCTCCTGCGAGCGCGACGCGCTCGCGCTTTGGAGCCCGAGATTTTTGCTGGTGATGACTGGGTGTCGGGTACAGTGGGTGAAGCCCATGAGGAGCAGGAGCCGCAGATCAGGAAGGGTGTTGATGAGTTGCGGGTAAGTGGAAGATTTATCGCGCAGAGAGAGTCGACGGCTAAAATCGCAAACAGTCATTGGAGTGGAAATATACACAAACTCCGCAATTCACTTTCTCAACATATCCCATCGAGGACGATCCCCGGGAGCGTCCACCTCTTCCGTCCTCACTTCCCCCTTCGGTAAGCTTTGTCAAGAAACAAATCACTTTCATCTACATGTGCTCACCATTGACTCGCTAGACACGCGCTTTCCTTCGCCTGAAGCATGGGGCTGTCATTGAAAGCAACATCTCGCTTTCCTCAGACGAGACTGTTGCTTCTGAGCAAGCGACCCGCGTGCATCAAGTCTTGAACGGCCAGAAATTGCACGAGATCACCCTTGAACGTTGGGTTGAGATTTTGCAACAAGGTCTTGCTGGTACAGACGGGGCAACCGAATCTGTCGTACAGGAGCTTTCCCGATTTCTCGGAGATATGCTCGGAGGCCATTAATTTTGTGATACCCCAAAATCATGTACTATACTATATTTGAGCGTCGCACCTAGTGTACAAATGCATCTGTATCATATTCACCGCTTTGATAATGTTTGACTAGCACTTGACGATGCCCCCACGAAACTCCTCTTCACCACCACTAGCTCCCGGTTCCAGGTTAAGATCAGACAGAGATTAGTATGCCACAGTCCATCGTGCACACTTTAGAGATCGGCACCAGGAGTAATGGTGTCTTTCTCCGGTAACGATCGACATGTTATTCTGGCTAAATTGGAGCCATTTAGCCACGACCGAGGCATTTGCTGTTTAGCCTCGTATGATAGCCTAAGAACATCGACTGATTGAATTAACAGATAGTACTAGTACTACATGCACTTGCAGGAGCTATAATTAGATCTGATATATGCAGATAATCAGCCCTCTCATGTTTTTCCATCAACCCATTTCTTTCTTGGGTGAGAGTGTGTACACTGATTCGCCCAGCATTCTAGGATGTAACGCTCGATCCACCCACAAGTAAGCAAGTAGTTAGTAGACCCAATGCAAGTTCCAGTACTCCGTATTTCCGAATCATCTCAAAGGAATAGATAGTTCCAACAAACTCCTCGGCACTTGTATATCCACTGGCACTCATCACAATAGTATAGTGGCTGATCCAGCCCAGTCTCATCTCACCCGCCAAGCAAGCCCTAATCCCAGCAAAAACCCCCACAACATCAAAGAAAGCAGGGATCGCCTATTGACCGGCTAATGCTAAAATCTAACCCAATTAGTCCTCATTCACCTAAACCAGTCGTGTAGTCCGTACCCCTAAAGCCCATTAGGAACCGATCACACTCTGTAGACTACTTTGACGTCGCATTGAGTGATTGATTCTCCACTATCCTCGCCAACCTTAAACCACCCCGACCCCCACCCCCACACCACCCCGCTCACCCAGAAAGCTGGGGAAACATGGACATCCCCCCTTCTGTCCTTTTGTTCCCCTTGGCATAATGCGTTTTTCCTGCGCTCTGGGCATGTGCTCAGTCAGTGGCTTTGCATGACTTTGACCATGCAGAACGATCCCGGATTCGTGGACCTATTTCCCCCGTCTTTGCTCGCCTTGTTTCGTATCGCTTTCCACCTCTCATGATGGCAATCTGCGCGGGCCAAGCTACTTAGCCTTTCCACTGTGTGAACTCGGGTGACACCTTCTTATATGGAATGCTCGCCTCGCTCGAGCTCGAGCTCTTTTCTTTTTGTCAAAACAGTTCCCGCTTCGTCGCGACTCGCTAGATCGATCAGTCAGTACCCGTCGGTTATCCATTGCTCGCTCAGTCCTGCCTTTGGTTCTGCTTTTATCTATTGCCGTCGTGGGATTCAAATAGTCTGCTTGTGCGCGGGATAGTTCTGAGCTGAGCTCCTTTCTTGCCTTGCAGTGATCATCATTCTTAGTTCATCACTCTTGGAGTATATTTTATTTTCTTTTTGACATAAGAGAGGACCGCTGGGAGGCCTTCATACACTCTCACCATGTCGTGGATTCTTAAGAAGATCGTCCACAATGAGGCGATGAGGACTGATCCTAAAGAGATCTATGGATGGAGAGTTTATGCATTGGCGTGCTCGGTGAGTGGTGCTTAGTACCCTTTTACCCATTGCCCATTGTTGTCGCTAATGCCGTATGTAGGCATGCTGTGGAGGAATGCTTTTTGGAATGGACTCTGGTATTATCGGCGGTGTTCTAACGATGGATCCATTCAAAGTGTGAGTCGCTCCTTCTAGACCGGGCTATCAAGAACTCATCTAATATCTTTCCTCATAGGACATATGGCCTGGAAGGTCTGAGCAAGGTTGCTCAAGCGAATCTTTCAGCCAACATCGTCTCCACCCTCCAAGCTGGATGTTTCTTTGGTGCCCTGATAGCCTCGCCATGCGCCGATAAATGGGGCAGGAAGAAAGCCCTCATTGGCGCTGCCGTGATTGGTATCATCGGAGTCGTTATGCAGACCGCCGCGGCCGGCCATCTGGAGGCCATGTACATTGGACGGTATGTCAATCGGCCCTCTCTCAACTCGATATGGGTAAAACTAACGCCATATCCCTAGTCTAATCACCGGGTTCGGAGTCGGATCCGCATCAATGATCAACCCACTCTACGTCTCCGAAAACGCACCACGAGCGATTCGAGGTGGTCTAACCGGTCTATATCAACTATTCATAACAATGGGAATCATGCTCGCATTCTGGATCAACTACGGAGCCGTCCAACATATGACCGGAAACGCAACCTACATCGTCCCACTAGCCATGCAAGCCCTCCCCGCCGTCCTCCTCTTCTTCGGAATGCTTCTCTGCGACGAGTCGCCCCGTTGGCTGGCCAAGCAAGATAGATGGGAAGAGGCCCGCGCAACGCTCTGCAAGGTCCGCAATCTGCCTCCAGATCATCCGTACCTGGAAGAAGAGTTCAATGCTATTGCGCTGCAGTTGGAGCAGGAGCGTGCTCTCATCGCGGGCTCGGGGTTCTGGGATATTATGAAGGAGATGTGGCTTATTCCGGGGAATCGGAAGCGTGCGATTATTTCGATTGTTTTGATGATTTGCCAGCAGATGACTGGTACTAACGCGATCAATTACTATAGTCCCCAAATCTGTGAGTTCAATTCCCTCCCCTCCTTCCCAAAAGTACCCGCAAATGCTTTCTTGAAGCCTGAATCTAACAATTTTCCACAGTCCAGAATGTAAGCTTCAAATACCCCGTAACTCGAAAATCCCACTTCACCTACCACAAAAACCCCAAATCTAACCAAATTCACAAACAAACAGCTAGGAATAAACGGCACAGCAACAAACCTCTTCGCAACAGGCGTCTACGGCATCGTAAAAATGGTCAGCTGCGGCGTATTCCTAATCTTCGTCGCCGACTCCCTCGGGCGCCGCCGCTCTCTCCTCTGGACATCCATCGCGCAAGGTCTAGCAATGCTCTACATCGGTCTATACATTCGCATCGCACCGCCCGTCCAGGGAGCCCCCCGTGATTCCAGCCGGCTACGTCGCGCTCGTGTGTATATTCCTTTTCGCTGCGTTTTTCCAATTCGGTTGGGGGCCTGTGTGCTGGATTTATGTTTCTGAGATCCCGACTGCGAGACTACGCTCGTTGAATGTTGCGTTTGGTGCTGCGACGCAGTGGTTGTTTAATTTTGTTGTTGCGAGGGCTGTGCCTAATATGCTTGCTACTGTTGGGTCGAATGGATATGGGTAAGTTTATCAGCTTCCAGCTCCAACCTTGTTTCGAACTTCAAGTTTTTACCTTGGCCTCCGGGTTTGGCTTGAGGTTGGGTTTGTGCGGTGAGTGCTTTTACTGACCTCAATTACAGAACATACATTATTTTCTCCTGCTTCTGCTTTTCGATGTTCATCTTCGTCTGGTTCTTCATTCCGGAAACGAAGGGTAAGTTGAGGAAACTTCAGCTCTTCTTTTACAAGAGGTTTCTTTTACTAATTGCTGCTTTTAGGCTTGTCTCTTGAGAAAATGGATGAGCTCTTTGGCGTTACCCAGCTTATCCAACAGAAGAGTGCTGATCCCGAGCTCGCCGGAGAATACGGTGACAGGACAGTGAGTATTGACCGTGGAGACAAGGCTCTTGAGGCGAATGATCAGCCGACCCAGGCTCATCGTGAGCATGCGGTGTAGGAATTGATGCATGTATATGGAGATAATGTGAGCCTTTGATACTAGTCTTTCAATACTACATAAATTGGGATGACACAGGCTCTGAGTCCTAGGCCCAGTTTAATGATACAATACTACTAATACTTCTAGTAGTAAACCAGTAGTTGTCGAGTACCTACCTTCGTCAATACGGTCGTACCTACCCTGCGTAGTCCTTTCCCTACCACTCACCAACTCCAATGTAAAAAACCCAATACTTAGTCCATTCTCCAGGGCCTCATGCTTTCTCGTTCGGCATCTCCTCAAGCCTCAACATGGAGAACCTCGTCAATGACCTGGTGGCTATCACCACCACTACTACCACTACTGCCACTGCCAACGCTCCTTCCCTCCCCCAGGACTAGAAGTCCTGAAGGCTGACGCCACCCCTGTCACCGTTATGGCGGTAACTGTGGTCGTTTGTTGTCCTGCTGCTCGAGGCCGCGATGTGGTTCTGCTCGGGGTCCCCTCAGCCGAACGAGGCGGTTGTTGAGCCCCAAGAGAACAATGACGTCTCGTAAGTTCAAGATGATGTTCCTAGAGATTTGGCGCACGGTCTGATCTATCGTGGCCCAGCCCTCCTCTCTCCTACTGGCGCCGCGTCTCCCTTTTCTTCAATGCCGGGCAGCCGGCCTCTCCCAGCACCCCCTCCTCCGCAACCTCGGCCACGCCGAGATCTAGACGCCGTAGGGGTCACTGGCGTTCCTCTGTTGCTTTTTGACCGTTTTTGCTTCTCTCCGAAAACCTCAGCGAGGTAAGATGAAGGGGAAAAAATGTACTTTGTATCACAACTCCCCCTGTTCTGTTTCTTTTGTATACTTTATTTTGTATATAACTATCCAGAACCGTTGGGCCTCTTCGGAGGTCACCATGTCTGAATGAATGTTGTTGACCTTTCGAGGCACCCTGATTTTCCCTCTGGGCATGCAGTTCGCTGTTCACTGTAGCCTTGAACCCAAGTTACGTATTGTAGTCTGTAGTTATCTTCAGGTCTACTATTGTGAATAAATCTCAGAAAGAACATGTGAATGAGACTCCCTGCGCAAGTGAGTATATGGCTTTAAGACATTACTACTATAAACCCCGTATTCATGTTATAGAGAGAGGACATCGTGTTTTGAGAGATAACAATCAAACTCATTTCAAAAAGCTAGCTTACATACGGGTCATACCCTTCTCATATTCAGTGTTCGGTTTCATATAAAGCAAGATCAACTGCTAGTAGTAGTAACTATCGTAACTATCGTCACATCAACTCAAGGACCCTCATCCATAATAGTGCAATCGCATGTGCCGGAGTAGAGCTCGGTGCTATATAGGGGGCTCTTTGAAAGTCTCCACGATTTTCGTAGCTCTATAAGCCGCCTCTGTAAACATTCGAGCGACCAGTAGATGGTACTCCTCAAAAGAGAGGTGATCGTATTTATTGGACCGAAGCTCTTTCAGGTTGATAAACCCCTGATCCAATTTCTGTAACTCTCGTTTCATGTTCTGGCGAAGACTCTCACTCTCTATGAGATGAATCGGTATATTCAGATCTGGATCGGGAAGGAGTGGGTCATATGGTGGAGGGTCATCGCGGCGACGGACTCTCCTTGATTTTTGGCCTTTGCGAGATGTTTCGGGCATTTTTGGAAGTGAATAGATGATTCTCGTAAGGTAAGATTGGCTCAGAAAATAGATGGAAAGTTTTTGAAACCGGAGAAATGTTGGATTGCAAGGTTAGATTTCAATGGCAGAAGAATATTGACTATCTTGGCTTCGCTTCGGCAGCCACATCAGGTAAGCCGCCGCATATGTAGTCCCCGCTACTAGACCAAATCGAGCGATGTTTAGCTACCATGGGAGTAGAGCTCTATAACCCATTTCAGACTCCAGAGAGCCGCAAACTCTGTTTTAGGTACAGTAGATTTTAGTGAAATTGGTAAAGCCATGGATCATCCCGTTTTTTCGGAAGTATGTCAAAAATGGAACATGTTGCTTGGTGTAAGACGGAAAGATAACTCTAGATTCAAAAATACGGCATTTCAATTGCTTCAAACTTTCAGTGAATCCCGCCCAATGTTAGGCTTTTTATATTCTGAAACGCCCTAATACTATATTTGCTTCAAGTCGAGTCCTTCACGACCGAATACACTTGACACATCACCGAATTTATTCATTTAAATGACTCACTGCATTTTGAGTCAAGACAATCCGTGTCTATCACCTGGGTAGTCCCGGTCCGACCCAGTAATAATGGCGCTCGAGCGCCTGGCGCAGTTCATCCGATCAACTCGAGCAGCTCACCCGTACAGGCATTCCAGATCATAACAGTGTTATTATCGAAACCAGAACCGAACAGTTGACCGTCCGGTAAGAAGGTAGCTTTATCAATCTCATTGAAATGGCCGTCGAGCGTATGGCGCAGCTCGCCTGTACGCGCATCCCAGAGCTTAACCGTATTATCATAGGCGGCAGACGCCAGCAGTTGACCGTCCGGTGAGAATTCGACCGAGGTAACCCAACCGGAATGACCCCTGAGTGTTTGGCACAGCTCACCCGTCCGGGGATCCCAGAGCTCAATAGTGTTATTATCTGCGCCGAACGCCAGTAGTTGACCGTTAGGTGAGAAGGAGACTAAGTGAAGCCAACTGGAACGCCCATTATATGTTCTTTTAACTCTAGATAGTTGATTCCAGGTTGATAATTCATTTGTGAATTTTCTCCTGATTATCGAATCTTCTGAAGTAAACACCAACCCTGCTGAGTAAAGCTGAAGGGGTGCAGTGTCAGCTATCCGCTGATTTCGAAGAATGAAATGCCAAGCTTCATGCAAGAAGGCCGCTATTTCATGATCTCTTTCAGCCTATATTTATCAGTATGGGCTAATGCACTCCAGGAAGGACTTTACTTCTGCGTACCTGTATTTCTAAGCGTAGTCTCTGGATCATTTCAACGACTTCAGATATGATACCCAAAAGGCTCATCGCTTCAACCCAATGGAGAAAATGTGATTCAAGGAATGATAGAGCTTTTGTACCAAGCTCATTGGCCGAGCTGTGGCTCTGTGCGAAGTGATGCACCCAATATCGGCAGGCATATTGCAGTTCCGATGATAGGCAGCGACTGAGAGTATCATTATCAACGTCGTCTCGCTGTGTGGTATCATTTTGCAGGTTGCAGATATCCTTTCGTAGTCCGTAATGACCATCTTGCATGAGATTGAGGCATTGTACAGTCAGTTTCTCATGCGCCAATCTCTCGTCTACCCAGAATGGCTTTTGCTTCTGTTTATTATCGAGAATAAAATCCCGAAATGAAAGATGTGAGATCCGGACTGGTTCATCTGGCCTGGTAGGAACATCTAGAATAGAATGGAACAGTTCGAATTGTGTCTGGATCTTGTAGGTTTCCATCTGCAGAAGTTTGGCAAGGGAATTTATTGATAATGGAGTAGCAAGGAGAATGAGGATGCCGAGTGTATTTTTGAACCCGTGTACCAACTGTAGGGATTCCTCTTCATCCTCATTTGAGAGAAGTCGATTTAATATGGGCGTATATGTACCCTCCATCTTTGTCACATATCTAGCTTGGTCACTGAGGATAGCTTCGATGTGCTCTGTAGGACCCCAGCGGTCATCACTGATGAATTGAAAAAGCGTGGTGGTGGAAATGAATGATGCGGTAGCTCTCTCGACCAGTGTATTTATCGTCCTGTTCCCAGGCCAGTTTGCCGGGAGGTCGCGCTCTTGCTGCAAGCGCAAGAATTTATTTTCAAAGTAGAGTCTGATATCGTGTTCTATCACAGAACTCGGGCTCTTGTGGATCATCAGGTGTTGATGATGATCTATGGTACCTTGAAATCCCAGCCTGATGGGTAGATCGGGTCTGCTTGTTAGCAGGAATCGGAGTTGTACTGAGCGTGATTCCTGCACATAGGGTAGAAGTTCGAGGATCTCGCGGACATGATCAACTTGATCGCATTCATCTAGTGCATCAATCACGATCAGCATGGGTGAACCTGAAGTTGAACTTGGGTTAAGGGCAATGAGTGGCTGCAGTATGAGCTTCTCAAATTGTTCCTTATGCGCTCTTCCTGAAATATCTGAATCGTCCTTAATTGCATTTTGGATACTGGGAAGAATCTGAGGTATAGTACCTCCTAATTGTTTCGCCAGTGTCGAAAAGAGCAGTTTTGCATTCCCTCGGTCTTGTTCGCCCTTTTTAAAGAAGAAGCTTGCCGCAAGGAGGCCCTGCTTCTTCAAACGACTGCAAACGGTTCGAGCAACAGTTGACTTTCCCGTTCCAGCCATGTTGGTTAACCAGAATATGCATTTTCCGTTAGGAGTCTCGATCCAGTGGTCAATCTCGCGCAGTAGCTCCACCTGGGTTCCTGGGAGGCATTCGGTTTGTTGGTTTTGGTTTTGGTTTTCGTAGTCGTTGAAGGCCGCACCTTTGGCGATGTGTAACCGACTAAGGTCTATCTTCTGGTTGATCAAAAGATAGGAAGACTGCCTTATATGAGTTAGCTCCTCCACATTTTCACATGTCAATGTGTCAATTATACACCTACGTTTGGTTCAGCAGTAACGATAGCCAGAATGCAGTCTTGTATCTCTCGATTTCACGGATGATCTTTATTACTTCCTCCCTTTTCATTGGCCATTCCAAATACTGAAATCCCCATTTCATCATCAATGTCTGCGTTTTTTCTGGCTCGATTTTGTCCTTTAATCTTCTGAGAATTGCAGAGCATTTGGCGATATTCTCGACCAGATTTTGGGAAGTACTGGCCTTTGTAGGATTTTGATTCTGAAGCAGCCTTTCGAGTGGTTCAAGTGTCTCGTAGAGGGCAGCGATTTCATCTTTTAGGCGATGGATATCTTCCCTTGGTTCTTGAATTTTGTTGATGCCGAGGTAAGTCCGACATATTTGAGTCATGGCTCGGGTTAATTGGATGACTGCAATAAGGCTTGTTGCACTAGAAAGCGATTCCATATTCAAAGTATGCGAGATAACCAGCAGCCCTCTTCCAAGGTTCGGAAGCTGGAGAGAAGACGAAGATGGGTCAAGGTTGACGGGGTTGAGGGGTAAGCGCTAAGAGCGAGGCTAAAGATGGCCTTGGCCTTTTTTACTATTGGTGTACGCAGCTCAATTGATGAGTGCGCTAGGGCTATTCCATGATCGAAGTTGCAAAAAGGGTGGTCCAATTCGCAGCCTTCGATCCACCCTTTACATACTTCCCGGCCAGGATACAGTAGCGCCGCAAAGGTTCCTAGTCCCTTGTTGACTTCCCTAATCTCCGCCTTCTACTGGAATACTAGTAACTACCTGAGCAGAAATATATTTGTTTATCTATTCCACCTTAGGCAAATACTACTCTACAATTAGAAAGAGGTAAGTAATGGTGGGCAATGGGGGGTTAGAAACTCTAGCGGCGCCACTGTATCTACTGGGCTACGCCAGCAATAAGAGATGCCGGAGGAGGGCAGAGTATAAGCGCAACAAAACCGAACTGTGTTTCTGTTAAAGACTACCTAGGATTATCAACCATCAGCGGCAGGCCATGCGCAAAAGGGAAAAATCTTACCTAGTATTGAAATCAAGCGACTTTTGGAACTCGGCTCTGTCGCAGGTGTTCGGAAATTCTGTAAACCTGAAGGAAAACCCTTCATTAGCCGAGGGCCAAGTAAGGAGCATATTACAACCGTCAACATGAACACCCTTCGGTCTCACTCCTTTGTTCGTACAGGAACCGCCGAACTCTGTGCAGTCTTCGTTTGTACAGGAACTGTCGAACTCTGTGAGTCCTTGGTTTGTACAGGAACTGCCGAACTCTGTGCACCCCTTGGTTCGTGACAAGCACCGCCAAGCTCTGCACACGCTTCGGTCTGAACCGGTGTACTACCAATTTCTGCACACGCTTCGGTTTGAACAGGTGTACTGCCAATTTCTGCACACGCTTCGGTTTGAACCGGTGTACAACCAGGCTCCCCACACGCTTCGGTTCGAACCGGTGTACCGCCAAGCTCTGTGACTCGAAGACGTGGTAAACACTCAAGTAAACCTTACCTGAAGAACGTTTGCCGAAGCGGAATGAATCGAAAGACCTGTAGGAGAAACATATTGGGTCAGCCCAATTGCTGGTGAGGACTTACTCCCTCTATCCAATGCTGCAGCTAAATTCCCGTCCACCCAAAAGTCTATGTCTACGTGCCCGGGGTTTCGAAGATGCCTCACCTGAGTTGTTTCACTGGAAAGGGTGATCACCAAACAAGGCTGGCGGATAGAACATGGGAGATAGACCAGCACAGATAACTGTTCGACAAAGACACTTTATTACTCTGGGGTCAGGGCCTCATTGAGAGATAACGAATTTGAGATGGATTATATCTTACCTAGGTGGACAGCCAGAGAGTCTATCGACCGGCTTGAAAGCGAAGTCCCCTTGTGGAGGGCTGACACCATTGACATCGCGTTAATCCAAATCTGCCAAAGCATAGAGGAGGTTTCCGCGGCCACCAATGGTGAAAGGCAAGATCTGACCGGGATCAGCTTACCTGGAGGGCACGACCAAAGGAAATATGATGCCGAATGGAAAGAGAACCGGGGGAAGTCTGGCGGGAACTGACACCATTGACGTCACGTTAGCCCTAAGTCCTGCCGAAGCATAAGGGTTTCTGCGACCACCAAGGGTGAAAGGCAAGATTTGACCAGCTCAGCTTACCTGGAAGTCTGCCAGGAGTTGGCGGAAGCTGACACCATTGACAAGAAGTTAGTAAAGTTCTTGTCGATGCACAGGGGTTTACCCGACTGTGCAAAAGTGAAAGGTAAGATCTGGCCGGGACCAGCTTACCTCGAAGACACAGATTCGATTACCAGGCCGTCTGGTTGAAAGATGATGTTGGAACCTAGACAAGAAAGTCTCCCACCAGCATGACGCTGGTAAGGACTTACAGCCGTGGCGGGTTGTGAAGTCGGAGTGAAGGGGCAGGTATGTGTCGGAAAGCCCTGATGGGAAGGTCGAGGACGCCTCACCTAAAGGAGTAGAGAGTTGAAAATAGTCAATGGAGTGATCGGGCTCGAGAATGCCCAAGCGATGCGATGTCAGAAGGGCAATGTCAGAAGAGCGTCGGCGAGAATGGTGACCTAGAAGGAAAGGCCGGAGAAGAGTCTCCTATCAGCATGATGCTGGTGAGGTATCTTACACCCGTGGCAGTGTCGTGAAGGTCGAAATCAAAGGGCAGTTTGTCGAAAGGCTCTGAGGGGAAGGTCGAGGACGCCTCACCTGGAAATAGAAAAGACTTCGAAACAGTCAATGCAATCAGAGCCAGATCGCGGCAGGAAAATGGCCTGGAACTGAAACCTGGAGACGACTTTTTATCAGCAACGCTGGTGAGGACTTATACCCGTGGCAGTGTGGTGGAGAGGTCGAAAGTTTCAAAGGGGCAAGTATGTCGGAAAGCCCTGAGGGGGGTGCACCTATCCAGAGACAGGGCAAAGGTCGAGGACGCCTCACCTGGAAAGATGTTGAACAGCCACCAATGACCTGGTCGAGGTTGCGAGAGAGGATCCTGATCCGTGAAGGAACCTGGGGAGACTTTTTATCAGCAACGCCGGTGAGGACTTATACCCGTGGCAGGTCGTGGAAGTCGAAAAGTTTCAAAAGGGCAAAGGTGTCGGAAGCCCTGATGGGAAGGTCGAGGAAGCCTCACCTGGAGATAATTTGAATGGCCTGAGAGACTTTTTCTATCAGCAACGCCGGTGAGGACTTATACCCGTGGCAGGTCGTGGAGGTCGAAAACGTCAAAGGGGCAGATGTGTCGGAAGCCCTGGGGGGAAGGTCGAGGACGCCTCACCTGAGATGCAGAAAAGTTGAAAGGCTAGTCGAGGTTTCGACAGCAAGCTGTGACCGGTGGAGAACCTAGAAAATGAGTCTCTTGTCAGCACGAAGCTGGTAAGGACTTACACCCATGGCAAGCCGTCAAGTTGGGTTAAATGAAAATTGTATGTCCTGCCGTGGAAACTCTTGGGAGGGACAGGGGTAAGGTCGAGGATGCCTTACCTTCAAGATGGCAACAGTGACAGCAATGGAGAAGATCATGCCCTGGTAGCGAAACCTGGAGAACAGCCTCCATCAGCACGGAGCTGGCAAGTAAAGAGAGGAATGGCATGGCAGTCAATGTCGAAGAATTCCGAGAGGAACCAATCGAGACAAGACGGCGGACAAAAGAACAAGGAAGCCTTGCCTTGAAAATGAGTCGATGCGGCCAATGCCATGGAGCCAGGAGTCGGTGCGATACAAACACCAAATGGACCAAGTGCGCGAGGCGCAAGAACGCCGGAGAACCTGGGAAAAAGACTGAAGGCGTCAGCTTGTTTTAGCTGGTAAGGCCTGATACCTTGTTCGCCGAGTCCAAAGTTGCGGAGATGAAAAGCGAGAATGAATAAAGCGAGGGGAGGTCCACCAAAGGCCATCAGACGTCTCTCGAGTGTCAACACTCGAGATCATCGGATTTCCATGAAAACAAAAAAGGCAATGGGCAGAGGAGTGGGGGATGGGAAGTGAAGGGGAAGGATGCCTTACCTGCGGAAATGAGAAGCCTGAGTCTCGAGTGTCGGAAGACCTAGAAAGAAGACTGAAGGCGTCAGCTTATTGTCAAGCTGGTAAGGTCTTAGGCCTTTTTCGCGCGCCATCGCGGTCAAAGTGCGGAAGTGAATGGCTTTCTGGATAGGGACCTCCTGTCCACCACCACCGGACGGCTCTCGAGAGTAATTTGCCGTGAGTAAGAGGGACTTGCCGTGAGTCCACCAACACCACGTGTCGGTCCGTAAGAGGGTCCCAAGAAAGTCGCAAGACAAGGTGCAAGTGAGACAACGCGAATCGCGGTATGGGAAGTGGGAAATGACAAATTGGAAGAGAGGGGGAAGGATGCCTTACCTGCAGAGATGAGAAGCTCAAGTCCAGACCGAGTTGAGTGTTGAGAAACCTATAAAAGTAGACTGGAGGCGTCAGCTGGGGTTTCCAAGCCGGTAAGGTCTGACACCTTTTCGCCGGGTCAAAAGTTGCGGGGATGAAAAACGAGAGGAGCTTCCCTGCCCTCCTACTCCCACCGGGAGAGGGTGCAAATGCAACTTGGGGGCGGTCCTTGGGAAGTCCCCTGGGAGGAAGAGGGGGCAGACTGGCAAAATGCGAGTCGGGGAAAGTGATGAGTGGGAAAAAGGGGGAGGATGCCTTACCTGCAGAAATGAGAGTTCCAGGTGGAGTTTCGAAAAACCTGGAAAGAAGACTGAAGGCGTCAGCTGGTTTTCAAGCTGGTAAGGTCTGATACCTTGTTCGCCAAGTCAAATGTTGCGGAGATAAACACCAAAGAGGACAAATACGAAAAATGCGAATTGGGCAAAGTGATGAGTGGGAAGAGAAGGGGAGGATGCCTTACCTGCGGCAATTCCGGGGAATCTCCCAGTTTGATGATTGGAATCGAACCTGCGGGGAAAAAAAGGAGGAGACCGACATCTTCCGTCAGCGATGGCCGGCAAGGACTTGAATCGGTCAAAACCAGAAAAAAGTCATGGCTCCGGAGAAACTACCAGAGTGACTGGGGGTGGGGGATGCCTTGCCTGTGTGGAGTGTGTTGAAGTGAATGGTGAGGAACCATCAGGCGCGTCAACAATGTGGACGTGTGGATGAGTCACATGGGGGATGGGATGCAAACATGGAAACAAAATGGAATGATCGAGGAGACATGATGAAGGGGAGCCATGAGGTGGATGCGGGAAGATGCCATGAGATGGGAGATGATGATGAAGTGGAATGATGAAGAGTATGTGTGAGGGAGAATGTGTGTATGTATGGGTGAGGGAGAATGTGTGTATTTATGTGTGTGTGTGTGTGTGTGTGTGTGTGTGTGTGTGTGTGTGTGTGTGTGTGTGTGTAGACATGGTGAAGGAACATGGTGAAGGTAGATAAGGGAAGGTGACATAAGGTGGAGGATGACAAAGTGAAATGACATGGGAGGGAGATGACATAGAGGTGGATGAGGTCAGGTGCCATGACATAGAGTGATGAGGCAGGATGACAAAGAGCGAGAGGGGATGGGATGAGATGGGGGGGATGAGAAGAAGGGGGGGGGGGGATGAGAAGAAGAGAGGGGAGATGGAGAAGGAGAGAAAAAAAAAGCAGGAGGGCGAGCCGGGGGGCGCTTATATAGAACAGGGCTAGCAGGGCCGACAGTGAATGTGTCGACCGCGACGCCGAATCTGGCGTTGACAATAAAAATGAAGCGGATCTAGTTTCGGAAGCGCCGCGCGCTTATCCGGAAGTTAAGGTTTCGGGAGCTGCCGTGTCGATCGCCAGAATGCGCTGTCAATGCCCATCATTAGCCAACCCTGCCGCCCACCCCTGGTCAGACGCGAGGGTCACAACTACAATTAGCTGCGGCCAACTTCGTTTGGATTGCGGTCGGGCTGTGACTCAACTGCTAACTTTTGGAAAGAAAAATTTTCACTGGAAAAACATGGTCGTCGGAGGCTGGGTGAATTGGGGACTGGGTGTATGCAGTTAGGCGCAGTACGCAGTATGCAGTATGGACTGCAGAGTCCGAGGCGTACGTTTGGGGGCAGTGTGTGTTGGGGGGCAAATTTTCAGTATGGGGGCAGCGCTTAGGGATAGTTTTCGTAGAATGTACTTCGCAGGATGAACGACAAGTATAATCAATCGAGTATCGCCGAGGTGTGCCGGTCAGTAAGCCGTTCTCGGAGAATCCGCACCTCTCCAGGCAGAACAGTATGTGTAGGGATAGGCGCCGTAGATACGCGTAAACAAGGTAGCACGGCATATTGTCGAGATGCCCATGCTATTGCATCGTTTCCGATGAGTACTCGAGTCCACACAGGTTGCCTTTCTCGCTGGACTCGAGGGAAAGCGCCAGGGTGTCAGTTGGCCTGGGAAGGCGTTGGAGAGCACCAGGGCGCGCCAGAGAGATGGTCAATCAACTCACCTGCAGTTGATGCGAATCATGCGAATCTGACTTGCGGGCTCTCCGTTTCGCACTTCAAATCCGTATGTCATCTCTTGATACGCTCTCTCGCCAATATACAGCCGGGGTGGGGGGTTGCTGGGCCCTCTGTCGTCTTCGGGCGCACGACACGCTCGTCGTGGCCCTTTGCACGTCCTTTCTGGAATCATGATCGTATAAATGCGTTCTTGAAGCTCATCACCGTCTTTGTCTTGGATTGCTCTGGTGCTAACCATCATCTCAAATACAGTGCCTCCGCGACTCGCAGTCCTGACCCGCTTGGGCTCACCTCTAGCCTCGATATCACCAGATGGACCTTTTCGCCTCATCTCTGCTTCTCTTTAGATCTACTCGACTTGATTCTATGGGAGAGGTGCTCCAGACAGGACGAGATAGGAGTCGTGTCAAGCGTGCGTCCACCACCCTCGCGTGTCCCTTCGCATCGTTTCTTCGGGGCGGCGACCAACAGACACTCCCCCATGCGGCGTGCCAACTCAAGACCTTGAGGCCGGGTACATTCGAGAAATCTGGTATCGAATCCGTCCGGTGAGGCATCTTGCCTGGCCAGCGGCTGAATCGAACGACTGCGCCGTGACCCTGGACAATGGGCAACAAGGCGTGGGTGGCGAGCCACTCTCATGGGTCTACGGATGATATTTGATGTCGGATTTTGGAAATACTCGGGGGATCTTTCAAGGATTCGTGGGCGTAGTGCTCAGTCGCTGGGGGTTCGTACCTGAGCGTTCGCCCGAGGATGGCAGCTCTAGGCCGTCAACCTTCCACCTTGAGTGTTTGCGGTATACGAAATCGCTTAACCGCTCCAGATCGTATCATACGGTTCTTTTTCGTGCTATTAGCCTCCCTACTAATAGTTGGGGTTGACATGGCATCCTTAATATACAAGGCCGATCGGCTCGCAAGAGACAAGGCCAAAGGCCTCAGCTCAGGCCTGCGGCTCAGTCAGCCCACACTGCTTTTTGGCCTTTGTGGCTTCATGCTGCGTTTTTCCTTCGCAGTAGTAGTATTATTTAGTCGTAGCTATTGCTCTGAGGGCTTTTCCCTCCATCATCATCTCCATCTCATCCTCGTCCGCTCGCGTCACTAGCCCCAAAGCGCCGACCGGATCGTCATGAAAGTTACAAGTACTAACTAAAAGCCTGTTGAACGTTGGAAAATGTCTCAAACAACCTTGATCCTGGTACAAATGGAACTTGCAAGGTTTCTCCTCTTGAAACAAGCGCAACGTGCTAAACTGCGGAGAAGCCACATATGGCGAGTACTACTATATATTTCGCCGCATACACTTGAAGCATTTCTAAGTCGCGATCCACATCTTCCTAAACCAATTACGGCTCGGACGGCTAGCAACGAACTTACTGGTGGTCAAAATATTATATTCCACTCTAACTCTCCTATACCAACCTCCCTTTCACCCGTTTCCCCTAGCAATTTAAGGGGACCTCAGGCCTTCATTATGGCGCGCTTATTCCGAACACTAAAGCGGCGGGTGGCGTGACTTGACCCACTTCGCGGTAAAGCAAGCAGCTACTAGTCCCATTCTGGAAAACGGTCAACACTACTAGTAGACTCCAACTCCCGGGCCAAAAAAATCGCGTCGCATTCGTTCCAAGGTTATTTGTCGTCATATTTCGGTATTCTCTTACTCGAAATAAGCTACTAACTTCTAATACACTACTTCGAAGTCAAACTAGGACCACCATGGAAGACGAAGAATTCGAAAACAAAGAAATTCCCAAGGCCAAAGTATATCGCCAACGGCGCAGAAACGTCGAAAAGATCCTGTGCTCTCTTTTATTTTTCAGTTCCAAGGGGCAAAAGAGCCTTTCCGATACAGAGCTGCGCGATTTGGTTGTCGAGATCGGAAGCCTTGATCTTCGGACTGGTAATACGTCACCTCCCGCGACCCGCTATTTTCTCCCCAACCTCAGCATGGCTAATCCCCAGTACATGAAATCACAGATGGCAAAAGAAGCTGTGGTAGATTGCAAGTGGCTCGGATGATTTGAGGAAGAATTCAGTTGTTTCAGTGGCCTTGAGGATACCAACACGGTGTTACCGTCCAATCTAAGACGCTCGATGGATAAATACTTGGATGAAGTCGAACAAGATACCAGAGTCAACTTCAGTCGGAGGTTAGTTGGCCGTTTTTTCTTAGCTGATCTCGAGTGCCCTCCGCTTACCTTTTTTAGGCCCATTACTCATGACGGGTGGTCAGTAAGGTATGTAGTCCTGGTTCATGATTGCGTACCAAAAAAAAGCCAAAACTAATATATGCTTTCAGTGAGAAAGACGAGATAATGAAAGAACTACCGAAATTCATGAACAACACTCCAAGTTACATATACCACAAGGAATTGGACTATCCATTCCGTCTGCTATCTCGCGCGCTCGTGAAGACTGCCGAAGTGCCTTTTGGCGGCATAAACAAACACGAAGAAATCATGGGATCAATGAGTGGTTTCGTTGCCGGAAGTTTTGCGCCAGTGGCTACAACCCACGGCAGTCATGGAATGTGTACGGGTCAACTTGACACCCTCTGCGACAGCGATAATCGCCCCTCGGCTGGCGAGCTTTCTGTCGTAGTTTGGCAGATCATGCAAGCAATGCGTTCCGAGCAACGAATTCATGAAAATGTCTGCTCCTGTAAGGTTGAAGGTCTTTTGAACTATAGTTACCCGGTATGATGGGCCTGACATCTCTTACAAAGGAAAATCATGATAACTTTCATACCCAGAGAATTTACATCATATTCGATTCCTCTGGAAAAGTCCGTGTTCTATCCGCGTCCCACTCCGATAAGCTATACGTTCAGGCATCGCCACTCCTAGACTTCGGGTGGCTTGCTGCCAAAGAGTCAACGAAATCCAAACCTATCAAGGCACTTACCGAGAAAAAGTACCTCGAGATGATGGGCGTTCTAGTCAAATGGATTTGGCCTATAACAACCGAGGAACCATACCCAAAAGCTTTCACAATGTGTCAACCCGGGTGTGAGATGTATTTTGGGCCTAAGTAGTTTCAGTGATGGGACGCAAGTTACTAAGACTCATGCCGATGTTAATATTTGCCAATCACGCCTGAAATTTTCATGTTCGATAAATTTCTAGAGTTCCTCTAGAATAGATTTGTACAGTGGCGCCACAAAGGTCCCATAAAATCCCAGTATCTATTGCACTCACCCTGGAGCAAAGGCATTAAGAATTGATCAAAAAAGTACAGCCAAATAACAGGACGATGTATGACGTAATTCGCGGAGAACGTCTGATCAACCCCATTGACCAGCGAGAGCACCACCAGGCAGGAACTCCCGTATTGCAAGATTATCTTCGTGGTATTTCCGTAAATACGAGCAAATAGAAGGACATTCCACTCTAGCTCTGAGCTCGATCCACCATATACTGCGACCTGCCTTGCAGTACCATAGATGAGAGTAACAGGAGTGCTACCGGGTCCTTTGCTTGCAACAGGTCTTCGAAGGACCCATGAATACTAAGTGTGAATATTTGGGTATTACCTGTTGAGATCTCATTATCCGGGATATACAGAATCCGGGACACTGCATGGGCGGCGTAAAAATAAGGATTCTTCTTCGCAGTAGATGATTCTAAGAGGAGGCATACAGTAGCCAAGGCATTTGGTATACCATCAATCCCCCGCTCAGGCAAAGGGGAAAACATCAGAGCAAAGGTCTCCGCCATGATGGTGAAAATACTGTCCGGCCGTAGCGGGTCGACGATATGCCATAGTGAATTTTTGCCCTTGCTCATGCGCAGCCAATCCAAGTCGGAGCGAGCGGAGGGTTTCATAGGCCATGATTCTTCTGGCGTGCATGCATCGGGGGACGAGAATGATAGGACGGCAAGAGCAGCCGCTGTGCCCCATATTGGATCTTTATCTTTTGCTTCTATCGGTTCTCTTAATCGCTTGTTCAGGAGAGTTGTGCTTTGGGACCAGTGGTAGCACTCTTCTAGGCTGCGTTGGCAGTTTATTGATTTATTTAGGTGGCGGTCATATGTGAGTGCCACTGCTAGGGAGGCGTGCATTAAAAAAGGATGCTGTGAGCGTTGTATTAGTCGAGCTCCGGGCCGTTGGTAACCTTTTACATATTTTAATCACTAAAGGGAGAGAACAGGTGCGATCAATACTCACGGTAAATGCAAGTTTCAAAAGCCTCCGGTTAACACGTATCATGTTAGGGTCATCCGGAGAGATGACTCTGATGAGACTTCGTCCAAGATAGCGTGTGATGAAGTCTTGGCACTTTGCATTCAACTGATAAGATGAAACTCCATCAGATGTCCAAATAGCACTAGTAACAGGGGGCTGGAGCTGCATTCTTCCTCGGGTCACCAGTAAACTCCGGGTCTCTGAATCGGCAGCGATGGGATGTAAATCGGGGACGTTGGACATAAAGTTGCACGACACCCCATATAAGCGGCATTTATTGCAATGTGGCTTGCCTTCATCGCACTAAAGCATAGAAGAGATACGTTCAGCTAATCCTGCTGGTGATCAATTTTATCAAATCACGAGTCACCCACCTTGAGTTTTCGGAGTTTGCAATTTCGGCAGCCATATCTCGATCTCTGTCGAGTCCTACGCCCCCGACTCTCCAATTCACCGGAAATATTCGGGGCCATTCGCAGTCTGGTACCTTCAGCAGTACCTACAGCAGTGCGTAACCGCCAGTGTGTCTATCCAATCCCTCAGAAGGCTTGAGGGATTTTCGTGGCCTTAAGACCTAGAAAGAGGAGGTGGAGGTGAAGATTAACCCGATAGCCCCCACACGCTAACGCCATTTGGAGAAATACGCTAGCCACGAGTCGGAAGCAAAGGATGGTGATTGGCTGCGCTCAACTGCATCTATAAAACTAGAAAAGTCCAACTCGGAATAGAATGAAATGACAAGATTCGATGTATTAAAGAAGCCCAGATATCCCGACACATTCCCTTGCATCCCAATCAACATTCACTCCCATACTACCAACCCATTCCACCTTCCAAAATGACCACCACCACCACCCATCTCGCCGCCATAACCCCAGCAAAAGGCGAACCATTCACACTCCAACCCCGTCCAACCCCCAAACCAGACCCAAACGATCTCCTCATCGCCGTCAAATCAGTCGCCCTAAACCCCGCAGACGCTATTATGCGAGATCAGGGCCTCTTCATACCTCCCTCTACCTACCCAACAGTCATCGGTTTCGACATGGCCGGACTGGTTCTCGAAGTCGGCGCCAACGTCCCACCTGCCTTCAAACCCAACACAAGGATCGCCGCGTACTCAGCCTTTGTCTGGAAGGCCTGCGATCCGGACTATGGTCCGTTCCAGGAATTTTGTCTCGTTCCTTGGCAACATGCTGTTGTGTTGCCGGAAGGCATGTCTTGGAACCGTGGGTCGACACTGCCTGTCGCTGTTCAGGTACCACTTTGCGCATGGGATATGATGGGGATTCCCCGGCTGGACATGGGTAGGGACATGGGTAGTATGGGGAAAACCACCCAGACCGACTCAGCTCCGACTACCGCGCAAAAAGGCGAAGCCCTCCTAATCTGGGGCGCATCGTCTAGTGTCGGAACAATGGGTGTGCAAACAGCCCGAATTCTACGAGACGATTCCACATCTTCGTTCAGGGCTGTATATGCCACGGCCGGGGTAGCTAATCTAGACTACGTAAAATCGTTGGGCGCGGACCGCGTATTTGATTACAAAGATGCGCAGGTTGTCGATGCGATTATTTCGGCGGCGGAGAAGGATGGATTGGTTATTCGGTTTTGTTTCCTTGCGACTGGGTCCCTTGGGTCTTGTCAGGCTGTGTTGAAGGCTTTTCGGAGAGGAGGGATCGGCATGACATTGTCCAAAATCGCGTCGGCGCCGCCGGTTCCTCAGGATGCGGAGGTTGTGGAAGGGGTTGAGACGATATTTTTGATGCCATCCATAGTTGAAGAGGAGAGGTTGGAGCAGTTTCGGTACTGGATTGGGACGTGGTTGAGGGAAACTTTGGTTAAGGGGGGGTATTGAGCCGAGTCCTGAGCCCAGTGTTGTGGGGAAGGGGCTGGGGGCTATTAATGCTGGGTTGGATAAGTTACTCCAGGGTGTGAGTTGTACGAAGTTAGTTGTGGAGATTGCGGAGTGAGAGTGTGGTGTGATATGTGCACATCGTTGTCGTCGTTTCCATATATTCGTTAAGGGTAGCCCAGGCTATGTACAAAAATCACAAGGCACACGCGTCACAATCCCGAAAAAGATAAACAAAGAGAATCGCCAGCGCTATGTATGTGATGCTCGCTCAAACCAAGACTTTCATGAACTGTATGGGGGCGTAGCCCGATAGTTCCATGACCAAGAGGCCGCCGAAGGCGCCAGAAATAACAATGAGATGATAATGAAAAGAACTGCAGGTACAAGAGTGGAAATGACAGCAACGATAGAAATGCAAGGTACCGAAAAAAGAGGGCAAAGAAAAACAAATAGGATCAGAAGACAACACGGCTAGGGAAACGTCGTCCTGGTGTCATCGGTTGCTGGGTCTGACTGCGTGTTATGCGACGAGGGGTTGGGCGATCTTCCAAACTCAAACCCCCAAGTCCAGGCCCAAGCTCACTGCGCCTTGGCGAGAATGGGGGGTTGTGTTCATGGATCGGATTGCGCCCGTACCGGATATTGCGGTTCGTGGCATCTGTGCGGGCGGTAAATTCCGTAGCAACGGTTTCGGAATCGGAGTCTTGCTCGTAGTCGGAAACCGGCTCATTCGCCTTGAGCGAATCCATGGTAAAGCTATGTGGGTTATGGTTGTTATTGTAACCCGAGGAGAAAGACCCAAAGGTCTGCGAGGACGAAATTCCGTAGTTTGGAACAGTTGGCAGGGCGGATGATATACCGCCAGCTGCGGATGAGAAAGACAGAGGGGGGGGCCGATTGTTGCGGAGAAAATTGTTGTGGTTGCGGAGAAAACTGTTGTGCTCGTGAAGCAAAGGACTGTTGCTGCAGTTGCGGGGAGAATGACTGGGACATGGTAGGACTGTTGACTGGGGATCCGGCAGGAGACCAACCGATGGCCCCTTGGGGTGAAAGTTCTTGACGCGGAGAAGTAGGAGCATTTTGCCGGTCTTCGTGTCGCGGAGTGGCCGATGCCGATCGATAGAATGCAAGCAAGTTCAGTATTTCCTGTACTGCCATGAAACCAAGAAGTATTTTCCCGTATCGGTCGAAATACTCTCGCTCAAAGGCCTCCTGGGGTAAATGCGCACCCAGGTGAACCGCAGCGCCAAGTTCCGTGATGTAGACCAAGATCTCCATCCCATTCCATTGGGCCAACGGTCTCTTGACTGCTTCCAGAAGAGCGAAGCCTGAGATCAGACTCGCACTGCCCAGAGCGCATGTCTCAATGTAGTTTCCAGGTATGGAGGTTTGGTGGTTTTGGGAATAGGTCCATACGGTCATGGAGCCCAGCAACAAAAACAGCCGAAGATACTGCAGGACCAGTTGACGGGGTGTGTTGACAGCATATGAGATGGGACGAGGCTTTGGTTGATTCCATTGACCTCTCGGGGCCTCTTCGGCTCCAAGATCAAAGGCGCGATTGAAAAGGGTCTCGAGGCCAGTGGCAGCATCGTGGTCGCTTGCGGGGAAGAACTTTGGGGGTTGGAAAACAGGTTCTGGGCTTGTTGGTTTCTTTTGCCATTGGTTTTGGGTAGGCGACAGATTTCGGTGAAAAGGGTTAGGCTCGATGACTTGTTCGATCGGTTTAACGGGTGTCTTGTTGCGGAGAGTCCACGCTGGGGGTTGAGGAGCGGCTGGGAGATTGCCATGGAACGGAGAGGGTCCATCGAAAGCCGACGGTCGATTTCGCTGGTAGACACTCACTGTCGGCTGGATGTTTTGAGGGGCAGATGGAGTCCAGTCCATGTCTTCGGATTCGGGAGGTGGTGTGGGGGACATGACTTGCGGACTCTCGACGATTGGCCGGGCGGAACCGAGTTTGTCAAACGGAAATCGCTGGCGAATTTGGCTGGTGGTCGCATTCGGTGTCGAATGAATTGGTCTAGGACGAGATTCAGGTACAGGAGATGTTTCGGTGCTCCGTAGAGGCGCACTCTCCCAAGAGTTGTCCGACCAATTTACCAGAGGCCGAGTGTCATAATGGATAACGCGCCGAGAAATGACAACAGACTAAAAGGTTAGCTTGAGTAGACGATGTGGGTAAAAAGAAGATACATACCAATAAGGTGAAGAGAATCATGAACATATGTAAAGCAGCAGGCAAGGTTGCTTCGATGCCACTGGCAAACGGGTCCTTCAGTAAAGACCAAAACACGCATCGGACGACCATGACAATAAGTTGGACTTGATAGTACTCGGCGAGGCCCTTAAAACGACCAGAACGCCCTTCGATCTTCATGCGCAAGCGTGGGTTCCACCATAGCGAAAGACTGCCTGCAACAAGCGCAAGACCGGCAGCTGGCGCCAGATCGTAGGCGCATTCGACTGGGATCCGTCCACCATCCAAAGTCTGACCCACGCAAGTCATTAAATGGACGGATGGGTCCATTGACACATCGGTCTCTGCGGTGGGTGACGAAGGGGCCGTCAGAGCGCCTAACACATCCCATGCAAGTTGGCCGCAGACACTCCCCCAGTAGCCTATAGCGCCGGCGTAGACCAGCAAACTCTGCCAGCTACGGTTCCTCGCCTGTCGTGCAGTTTTGCTGGCTCGGGTTTGGTCCATCATGCGCCTGAGGTGATCTGCCTTCGCCTCATAGCCGGCCTGCTTGATTCGCTGTCGCACGCGCGGCTCGCAATTGTCGCATACAGTCGGATATCGGTCTTCCATACTCCTGCGGTACTGGGCATAGTGATTTTCATGGTCGAAAGATGGGTCATCAGAGGGTGCTTGGTATGCTGCCAAGGAGTGGGTAAACAAATGTTGGTTGCGAATGCATCGGGAACAAAACAGGTCGGACTCTTCAAAGCCAATCGATTCGAAGCGAGGGCTTTGCGCGTCGGAACCGTATGCCTGGGGGTTTGTTGCTGCGGTTGGGGGGTCTGTGATGTCTCCGTTCTACATAATGTTGTTAGTTGTGGTTGATTGTGGTGACCCGGGGGGAGGATCTCCCTCGAGTCGAGGTAACGCACCTGGTCGAGGTAGTTATCCGCCTCACAATTCTCGCAGTGGAACTTTCGGACAGTGCTATTGAGCGACTGGACGGGCTGGTTAGAGCGCCGGCCGCAATAGAAGCAGGTCAGACGTTTTGAAAAGAGCGCCATGGTAAGGGCATCTCAAGCGCACAAAGTCGACCTGTTGTAAAGTTGTTGCAATAGTTACAAGTTTCCAAGGCGGAGAGAGCGGACAACGCAGAAAGGCAGAAACAGACCCAAAAAGGGAAGGAACACAACCCGCACAGACCGCCCACGGCAGGTGTTTTGTGCGCGTCCGCGACGCACCACAAGTAAGGTGCGTTCTACAAAGATCAACAATGCCAATCTATGGTCCCGATGCTGCTGATGCTGCTGCCATTCATTGAGTCTATGCCGTGATGCTTTCTGGTTTGTGGGTCTATCGTCGCTGACCATTGCGCTTCAATCCGCTCCGCTCCGAACCTTGGACTATATACCCGTGACATCATGGCTTCCCCGGTGGAAGTCTTCTGGGAACTTTTTTGGAAGATCCTTGTCCCGATAGCTGTCTTGGGACTTCTCGCGGTTTCTGTATGTTGTCTGTTAACTTCCCATTGTCAACTACCCTCCCAATGCTAACCGGCATATTGCTAGATTATCGTGGCCTCGCTGTTCATTTCCCCAAAATGCCACGCTTCCCAAAGTCGACCGCCGCGGTGCCCCGGTACACATCTTGATTGTTTTGGGTAGCGGGGGCCATACTGCAGAGATGCTCTATATGCTCAACAAAGCAGCCTTTGACCCTAGCGTCTGGGCCTACCGAACCTATGTTACGACCTCTGGTGATAACTTCAGTGCCAATAAGGCAGCTGAATTTGAGGCCAAACTCGGGGGGAGGGCAATATGATACCGTCGAGCAGCGAGATCCTTCAGCCGACAATCTTTCGATCTTCGAGAGGAACCCAGCAGAGAAACAAAATGCCAAGAACCTAGCGGACAAGAAGGGTTCCCCCAAAGACAACCCTCCTACCTCCGGCAAGTCGTTTCGAATTCTCGAAGTACCTAGAGCTCGACGAGTCCATCAGTCATACTTGACAGCACCTTTTTCGACCCTCCACTGCCTTTGGGCTTGTCTCCTCATTCTTTCCGGGCAATTCCACGGCCAGGAGCCGCTTCCGTCCAACCATGAGACCCCGTACCCTGATATAATCATCACGAATGGACCCGCCGTCGCGGTCTGCATGATGCTAGCAGCTAAAATCCTCCGGTTCTTCATATTCGTCTCTCGATGGCTGACTGGCCGCGCTTCTGCGCCGGAGATTGCCCGACTGCGAACCATCTACGTGGAATCATGGGCACGGGTTCGCAGTCTCAGCGTGTCGGGGAAGTTGTTGCTGCCAGTTGCAGACTCATTCGTCGTGCAGTGGCGTCCTCTCGAGGGACGGCGAGCATGGCCAGGCATGAAAAAGACGCAATACAAGGGCTGGCTGGTCATCTAAGTATTCATTGAAGTTAAAAATACCCAAAACAATCAAATATACGCTTTTACGGTGATTCCTGGAAATGAAACACCATTCAAGAACTTATCGATCATAGATAAGAGACCCAGACCCAGATAGTAGCCTGCCGAACCCGACCTGGTTCCGCGACAGCTTTTCCTCCACATACCGAAGTGGAGATCGCTGCTACACCATTTGTGAGGAAAGTAGTAAATAATTACATAGATGGCAGTCCTAGGATTGGTCTAATTCCCTATTTTTCGTTTCTGCGAACGATACAACAGCGTGGCATGAGACTGGTTGAGGTAGAAACATCAACCTGACGCAACCAATAAGAGCCAAGCCCCAGCATGCGCTGTACATACTACATAAACATCAACAGGGAACACTCCCGAGTGGGGGGACTATTTGCTCTCGCTTTCCATCGGACTTGATTCCGTGGGGCGCGCTTCTTCCGATGCCGCCAGGCCCGAATTCGCCCCGTCCGACAGGCACATTACAATCTTAGTCAATTTTAGTCCCCATCGTTGAGCCCCGCATCCCCTCATCCAAGTACCTCGGTCACTTCGAATAAGCTTCTCTTCTACATCCCCTGTTTCTTTCTGTTTCTGCATCCAGTGAAATTATCATTTCGTTCTCGATAATTCAATTTGTTCCCATCTCGCTCTCTTCAATATGCCATACTCTCTCAAAGGACGAAATGTCCTCATTACTGGCGGCTCAAGGTAGGAAATTGTGGGGACGGATCCCCGCGTTTTAAGGCTTCAAATCGCTAATTGATACACCGTGACATAGAGGGTTGGGCGCGCTCGTGGCTCAGAAGTTCGCTGCCGAAGGGAGTAATATTGCCATCAATTATATGTCGAACAAGCAGTCTGCCGACAATACTGCCTCGGAGATCGCAAGCAAGTACAATGTGAAGACTATTGTTGTTCAGGGTGTACGTTTTCATCGTTCGACGGTACCAAAAAGGGCTGGTCCATCTCGCGTATGAGGGCTGAATGCTAACGCCTTGGCTTTTTATTAAAGGACGCTGGGAACCAGACCGACTGTATCAACGCTGTGAAGACTACGATCGAACAACTTGGAGGCTTGGACGTGATCGTTTCCAATTCCGTATGACTATGCACTCTTCGAAACCTGGGGAAATAATCTCACTAAGACTTCTTTAAAGGGTTGGACGAAAATGACCAACTTCGGTGATCTGGACGCTATGGACGATGCAGACTGGGACAAGGTAAACGATTCACACTGCGAGTTCAAGGAGCACTAGGCTAAACATCGAATAGTGCTGGAACATGAATGTCAAGAGCAGCTTTTATCTGTTCAAGGCAGCTCTTCCGACTTTCAACGCCAACCCTGAGGGCGGTGCCTTCATCATCACATCGTCGATTGCAGTAAGATGATATCATTGACGATTTGTGCAAATGGACAAGACTAATACTAGTTTTTATCTAGGGAGTCTCCGCCACTGGCAGTAGTCTTCCTTACGCCGTGTCCAAAGCAGCTCGTGCGTACATTACTCTTCTGATTGAACGAATTCTCTCTAATAATCTCTAGTGATTCATCTTATGAAGTGCCTCGCCCAAACCCAGGGCTCCAAAGTCCGCGTCAATGCAGTACTTCCAGGCCTTCTTCTCACAGAATGGGTGCGTTTTTGACTATTTTGTAATTTGTTAATGGGCAACGGCTAATATTTGAATAGGGCCAGCAATTTCCCAAGGAGAAAATTGAGGCTTGGACTCAGAAGACATCCCTCAAGCACGTGGTAAGTCCATACTTGCCCTCAAGTGTCCCATTTGATTTCCTCTCTAATTATACTTCTAGCCCGAGGTCGAAGATACCCACGGATATGTATGTGACAATAGCAAAGAACTCGTCCATGACCGGTCAATCGGTCCAGATCGGTATGAAGCATGTTCAAGTTCCTTGAGGCATGTAACTTCGGCTAACAATTCTATCTAGATTCCGGATTCTCAATCTAAATGCTAGAAATCTTGGTACAGGACCAAAGGAAGTACGAACAATTTGTTTCTCGATAGATCTGAAAACGTGGAGCGGGTATCAAATTGGTAGACAGCCATATCTTACACATTCATCTTCACCTATCTACTAGTCCAGTAGTATTACACAAGAGGGTTACGGAAGGGAGTAAACTCCGCCCCGCCCGACATAAAAGATCGATCACCAAACATGCGAGCCTTGATAGCAGCACGAAGACCCTCGGCAACAGCTTCTCCCTCCACCTTCATCTGATCGATGCGCAACACCTTTCCATCATGAGTGAACACGTAAAGCGCTCTTCCTTTTTTGGGACCAACAGGGTGCGAAGCATTCGCAAAGGGCAGCCCGGGAACAAGAGCAAAAGAATCACATCCCTTTGGAGGTTCAACCTCCTCAACTTGTGTGAGAATAACGCGCTTTTGGGAAAAAGAAAGATTTGTGTCTCCGGGATTCGTTGGGACGAGCGCTCTGCTCCACAAAGGCCCAATAACTCGGCTACGGCGAGTAATGTCCTGCATTGTCCAAGTGGCCCAGTCGATATGTCTATCTTCTTGTTGGATTTTGCCGGCATGGATTAGGGTTTCGTTTCCTTCTGTGGGAACCCATCCTGCTGCCTTCAGGGGTGGTACGAATAACCCGTCCTTGATACCGTCAACTAGCATCTGCGCACCCTTTGGTGCGACAAGGTTCTGCAGTTCGGGGACAGTACAGGTATTGGGGTTTGGAATTTCAAGTCCAGGCTTTGGAGTCTGCGATATGATCACTCCGTGGTCAAAGTTCTTATGATGTAAAGTCTGAAGAGTAATTCCCGTGAGGGTCCGTCCAGCAAGAAGAGTATGATGTAGCGGTGCAGGGCCACGGAAACTAATGCATCGATGTAAGCTTCATTCCATCGATTTGCAGGGTTGTTCATACTCAGGGAGTAATGATGGGTGTACATTCAAACCACCATATTGAGCAGCATTCAAGATGCGCGGTGGTACAAAGAGGCCGAAGGATACGGCAATGATCAAATTAATGGGACCGTTCGGGGTCACCGGAGGCTGCTAAGATTAGCATTTGCATGGAAATTATAGTTAGATAGACTTACTGTCCACTTTGTAAATGTGTCTATTTCATGAATTGGTAGCGAAAGAGCCGATGCAGTGTCCTTAATAGGCACTAGGCAAGACGAATCAGAATGCTGAATACAACAAAAGTCCCTTGAATGCACGAACCTTCTCGGATTTTCTTCATTCCTCTTCCCACCTTTTTGCCTGGACGGCAGACCACGTCGATGGATGCAATGCGATCGGGTTGCTTGAGGTGGTAGGCATGGAGCGCTTTCAAGGAGGCAATACTAAATTCGTCCGAACCGCAAAAGAGGATGCGAAGCGGATCATGGACTTTGGTGGAATACAAACGAAAGGCTGGTCTTCGAACCGCAGACGAATATTTGCAGAGCCCAAAGGCTCCAGTCCCTCGTATCACCAACATAATATCCGGGGCAATAAATAGTATGAGGTGAGGCCAACCATTGAGAGAAGCCGGCGACTTCCCCGTCCTCCGCACCCGCAGCTTCTATCGATAAGGCACGTGATGTCAACATCATAGCCCACTGGACGACCGGCGTGGCTCCCAAACTTCGGATGATTCGTAGATCTACTCTCAGTCATTGTGCAGCTGACTACGATGCGATGCCTGAAAGCGACTCCGATTCGGTGATCCCCGCCCAGCTGTCTTTCCTCGCCATCTACAACCCAACCCTCGGCCCCACCGATGAGACACTTGAGGACCAGATCGTGTTCTACACCTCCAGGGCCGATCTCCAAAGAGAAGATGACTCTGCGACAACCGAGAGTGGTGGGAAGTTGGAGGGAAATGATAAGAATGAACGACTGCGCCAGATAGGTCTGGCGCAAGGCATGGTCAACTTCGCCAGGTGGGACATGTTCGCCTCCCCCGCAGATGGGCAATGCTGATCCGGTTTGCGACGCAGTAACTTCTCGCCGGGAAAGCCTCTGGAATATGTTGAGACTGATAAGGCGAGGTTTATTCTTGTTCAGCTGGAGCAGGACTGGTGGGCTGTCGCAGTAAGTTCAGTTCGCTTAAAACCTCACACTGTACCGTGACGTGAACATCACCGCTCATTAATCTGCGCCAGTCTATCGACTTAACTCGTCTTCCCGCCGATCCAAACCAAACACTCTCAAGTGAAGATAATGGCACTTCTGTATATCAATATTCAGCCAGGGAAATGGGACCCCCGCAACTATTCCTCCAACAACTACGCCGCGCACACTCCCTCTTTCTCCTCCACCATGATTTCTCTTTGGATGCGCTCTATGAACGTGTTGGCCGGTCCGTTCTCTGTCTTTTCCTCGAACGCTTTTGGGAGAAGTTTGCCTGGAATTGGGAACTTCTACTCACGGGAAATCCCATCGTCGAAATATACAATGGCATCAAACTCGCCGCTGGCGGAGAGTTGGGTGTAGGTGTTGGAGAGGAAGAGTGGGGTAGTGGTGAGAGAGAGGTCCTCGAAGACTTTGTTGCCAGGACAGATGGTCTGCTGGACCTAGTTGTGTCAAGATTTGGCGAACCGGCTCCCCAGCCGAATGATTCTCCGCCGACGGTCGAGTCGAACAGTCAAAACGCTTGGCTGGGATCAGATCAGACCCCTCGACCAGCCGATGGTGTCGTCTTTTCAGGGCTTGGAGCCGTCTCCCGTCTCTCTTTGGCGCGTGTCTCGCACTGGATGGAATGGATTTATAGATACGGAGATACGACATATGGAGTAGGACGGGACCCGGCCTCACTGCGTCGACGCAAGCCACGGAGGCGAGACAAACAGAAATCCGAAAATGCCACGGCTAGCCCGCAAAATAGCGTACTGCCCTCGACTCCCGAGATGCATCACAGCCATACACCAGGAATACCGCGTCCACTGGTCATAGCTGCACCGCAACCGCAACCGACCCCGGACCGTCAAAAAGAAACGAACGCTGCGGATGGAACATCAGACAGCACGTTATCCACGAATGAACAAGGATTTGGGACTGAAACGGTCATGAAATATCTGACCCTTGGATATGGCTCCGCATGGAGTTTCTCCAAATCAAACTCCCCGTCTCCCGATAACTCGACTGCGGCCGCGAATGAATCGACGGTGGACTCTCGGCAACAAAGCGGCAATTCCTCGGGTGCTGCGAAATCTTCGTTATCAAATGAGCATCGAAATGAGCCAAGAAACAACACTTCAGGTCGCTTCATACTCGGTCCGCGTGATGACTTGAATCTACTCGATGATTTAGAAGAAGAGAGCCCAGCGCCTGAGGCGGAGGCTAGCAAGCCCAAGAGCCGTATAATACATAGGTTCATTCATATCCATACCTCAGACGAAAGCTCGAAAAAGCTTCAAGCGGTCATCTACGTTGTGAGCCACCCCCGGTATTACCTGCTACCTGCCACCTGCTAACCACTCCAACATCAGAATCAACCATTCGTGTTTACATTCCTCTTCGACCCAGAAACACCCTCACTCTCTTCACCAACTCTCTATACAAGCATTCACCACCAGCTCGGTCCTCTCCAAAAACCACTTCTAGCATCGACATCACCAGCAACAGCTGCAGCACGTATCCCCCATCCCGACGCCCCAGACACCAGCAACCGCGCCACACGATCCAAATCCCAATCACTCTACGACTTCGTCTACGATCCCTCCAATCTAACAATCCGATCTTCAATCCCCAACATCCCATCTCTCGGATCCCCATCCTCGCACCACCGTGAAAACAATCCACGCACCCCATCCCCCTCCCAACCAAAACCAAGCACACCCTTATCCCGCATCGAAAGCCTCGCCATCCACCACCGCCTCTTAACAACATACACCGACACCCGCTCCAGACCCCTGGAACTAGAACGCACCTGTAAAACCAGTCGCGGGTGGTGGATCATCTGGGTACGCATCCCACAAACGCAGGACACGGGCACACATACTCCCTCACCTGCACCCCTCTCAACAACATCCTCATCAGCAGCCCTCTCATCCATGGCCGAAGGCTCAGTCTCAGTCTCAGCCTCGATCAAAGGCTCAATCCCAGAATCACCACAGGCCCAGCCACAAGAAGCATTCCTCGTCCGTAAGGCGGTCGACTACGTTTCTCCGGGCCACGCCCGCGTGAGCAGCGGCGCGCGCTTTTTCCGGGACTTGGGCGGTGCTTCTTCGTCGAAATTTGGATCTGGGTCTGGGTCTGGAAGGGCGGATACTACGCCGTCGAAGTTGGTGGAGGGTATTGGTATGGATGCGAGGAGGTATATTGAGGGGTTGTTACGGTTTAATCGGTGATTTAGAGATGGGTTGGGTTGGGATGTGGTTGGATAAAGGTTCTGTAAATGTATACTTTGACATGTGATTGTCTGTTTTTTTTTTTATCAGAGGACTGGGAAATGAGCTACCCAGGTGGCTGAATGTTCTAGGGATCCTGATAGAAACTAGGGTTTGCTACTGGCACCTACCAGAACTGGTATTTGGCACTATATGCGCATCCAACCTTGGAACTCCAGTAATATAAACCGAGTTCAATTTACAAATTCAACTAGAAGACAGACCTCGGGACCTAGACTGACATTGATATTGATATACACTAGCCTAGTACGACTCCCTAATGCCACCGTGACCAAAATCACGAGTAGTAATGCATACCTACATAATAGCAGTACTAAGAAAAGCCAAATCGAGTTCCTCGCGAGATTGGGAATCATCTATCATCACGGGATGTGAACCGAAGTCACAGTCCATGGCATTGTCCATCACATAAACCGATAGACCCTTCCGCCGTGCTTCTTACACCAAGACTTCCATTCCATACCTACTCCGGGATCATCCCTTTCTGTTCGGTTCCCGTCCTGAAAAGGTCTATATTCATAGAGGGAAGATTTAGAAAGATTTATACTGCCACTGAAAGAGGCAATTTGTCATTGAGATCCACGGAGTCGGATTTGTGGGAGAGGAAGATGAGAATAACAAACAGAATATTGGCGAGGGTTGGGGGAAAGAGTTAGGGTACGGTACGGTATGGGAGGAAGTTGGGAGGGGAAGAGCGGATAGAAGAAAAAAGAAAAGGCCCACAGGGTTATGATGAAGACAACGCCTCCCTAGACAAATTCTGCAAAATAAAGGCAAAAAAAGGAGAAACACAAGGTCGACCAACTGCAGGGGTTGTGGGTAAAAAGAGAAAATAAAAAATGAGGGGGATTGGGGGGAGGGGGGGAGGGCAACAAAGTAAAGCAGGTAGGGGGAATATCCACGGCTCAGGCGCCCGACTTCGAAAGTATTATCCACAGATCCTCGTATGCAAGCCCAGCAGCTGTCCCCTTATTTGGGAATAGAAACATTCAAATTTGCCCGAGTCTCGACCACCGGATCTTTTCGCTCGAGCCGCACCATATCGGTTGGTGTAGTTTACAGAAGCAGGCACTTGCCGCCCTTCTTGCCGCCCTTCTTGCCGGTGCCGGCCTTGAGCAGAGCCGCGCGGGTGGCGGACTCGAAGACCTCGCGGACACCCTCGTTGGTACGGGCAGAGCACTCAAGGTACTTGTAGGCACCGATCTTCTTGCGGATCTCCTCACCCTGTTGAAAGATGCGTTAGTGATTTGTTGACGGGGGTGCGTGCGGCTATGGGGCATGGCGCGGGTGATAAAAGTAGATCGGGGGAGATGTGACATACCTGCTCAGGGCTGACGGGCTTCTGGGAGGTCTTGTGGAGCTCCTCGATGGTCTTGGGGTCGTGGCGCAGATCCTTCTTACAGCCAACCAGGATGATGGGGAGACCCTGGCAGAAGTGCAGAACCTCGGAAATCCACTATCAAACAAGTCAGCAGGTATGCTCCGGTTGGTTTGCTGCTCCCGGGGGACTGGTTTTTTTTCGTCTTCTTTTTCTGTCCCCCGGAAGATGGATTCATGTGACACGCACCTTCTCCTGAACGTTATCGAGAGAGTCAGGGGAGTCGACGGCGAAACAGATCAGAATGACGTGGGAGTCAGGGTATGAGAGAGGACGGAGACGGTCGTAATCTTCCTGACCAGCCGTATCCCAAAGAGCAAGCTCGACGTGCTTGCCATCAACCTCAACGTCGGCGACGTAGTTCTCGAAGACGGTGGGGACGTAGACCTAGTATCGAAGACAGTCAGCACGTGCTTCTAGATGCAGATGCAGCTCGGTCGATGCCGATGCCGAGATATGTCGAATTTTGATGTGGTGGGTGCAGTCGCGGATCGGGAGATCCGGGGGATTTGGGGGCCGATCAAGGGCCCCAATGATGGGGGAGGAGGGGGAGTCTCACCTCAGGGAAGGTTCCCTTGGAGAAAACGCTGCAAGAGGAGACTGATTAGAGATCCGAATGTAAAAAAAGAAAGAGTAAGGGGAGGGAAGGGGGATTTGATAACTCTGATGTCTCAAGGTACCGTTTACTTACATGAGCAGACAGGTCTTACCGCAGGCACCATCGCCAACGATAACGAGCTTGCGTCGGATCTCAGCCATCTTGAGAGGGTGAAAGTTAGTTGGAAGAACAGAAGTCAAGAACGAGCACTGTCCACAAAGCGAGACAGATATAGCGATGGAGAAGGCGGTAGGTGGGGAGGAGGAGGGGGGTGGAGGAGAAGGGGAAGAAGAGAGATGAGAAAGGGACAGGTGCAGGTTTCGGGGGGCGGGTGAGTGGGAAAAAGGGGGGAGGAAAGGGTCGGTCGTACTGTGATGAAAGGGGTGAGAGTGTGGAGGATGTGAAAGAAGAAAAAACCAGCTAGTGCTCTGCACAGAAGCTAGAAGATAGAAAGATGATGAGAAGACTGGAGGATGGGAAGAATGATGTGGATGGGATAGAGGCCAGACTGCCCAGGCGCCGGGCGGTGGACTCTTTTGTTGTGTTGGCACAGTATGGTATTGGTATTGATGTATTGCCTGGTACCTAGTGTACACTCTAGGTACACTTTACCCGGGTTAAGGCACAGATAGGCATTAATTTCTCAGTAATACCAATACGCAGCCCTAGCAGGTTATGTGTGGCTGAGCGTGAATCCGCGTCACAATCATTGGGAGAGCCCCACTCTTTCACCCCGTTTACAACTTTTTCTTTCGCTGACTGCTGCGAGGTGGATTTTGCGCGCCCAAACACAGCCACCATCCGTGGCTGTGACGTTATGCAATGCTCGAGGAATCTGATATCATCGGAGTTGGGAGAGTTGGGAAGGGTTGGAACTTAGAGAGAAACCTTGTTACATCCAGAACCAAGGTTTCTAGATATCTGCTAGGTACTCCGTACCTGCAGGTGATCTTCCTAGGCACAATGGTGCCTGTTTTGCTATTGTATAGTACCGGGCATTATGAAGTTTCAATCCTTCAAGTTCTTATTTGTATTTAATTGAAAGCCTACCTAGGTACCTACTGGTCACTGGCCAGGTTGTAGCTACTAGTACTATGTCTGTAAAATTAGTACTATCCAACTTCAACTTGAAACCTTGGAAACCCGTCGACACAGACACTCACTGCCCAGGCATGCGGATATATATATCCTGGGACTGCCCCGGTGCCAGTGACCTCCGAGTCGGAATTAACTGGAAAATCTTACTAGTAGTAGTACTAGCCTCAGGATGTCCGCATGAAACAGCACGACACTGACAGAACGCACCGTCGATAACCCTGGAGAATAGTATGATAAAATCATTATACCAAACTTCAAGTTCAAGCTGAATCCAGCTTATCCTAATCAACTCTGGAGGTCGCAAATGGTTGCCTACTTAGGGTACCCTACTAAATAGTGGGAATGCTTGACGTTGTTGTCCCGTGACGATCGCTCCGATAACCTCCTTCCCCATTCCTTTGGCCTTTGCCTTTAGCCAAACGGAGTCGGATGCACCGACCGACCATTTAGATTGCTTCACCAGTCGGCAATGACCAGATTCGACGTCCCCAGATTCAAGTTGGCACGGGTACTCCGTACTCCGTACTGGCAATGGCAATCCAGGGGCCCGGCTCCATCTGTGCACTGTCGCACATCTGCCGATACGCCCCTTGCCCAACACCAATCATCTCCGAATCTCGTATTGCTTCCGAGTCCCCACTCTCCCAACGTGCCCTGGAGCTGGGAGCTAGAAAATCCGTGGTGGAGATGGGTGATGGGCTCTGGTAGCCGCGTCTCCACGACTGAACTAAAAATAGGCTGAGATCCTGGCCGACTCGAGAAAATACCGTCGCAAAGGGGGGAGGGAGGGTAAAAGGGGGAAAACGTGAGGTAAGACATGCACACGAGCTAAGTTAGAGTACGGATATAGCTGGGGCAGTTTTCTTTCCGTTTATCTTATCTTAGCTTCCATGGTTATTTGATTTTTATTGCGTTGCTTTTTTCTCTTTTCTTTTCCCTTCCGGCCGAACCACTTTTTTTTTTCGGTTTTTGGTGGAGAATATGAACTAGATAAGTAACAATATATGTACGTAGCACGTATGTAGATGGCACAAGCCGTTTCCAATATTCCGACTCAACCAAGCTGACCGCACACAAAAGTACAAGCACTCTGTATAGAGTACTCCGTACTTCCTACTCCGTACCAGCGACACGCTTCCCAATGGCCTGGGGAGTCTCCTCACACTAGCGAAAGCCACCGAGCTCGGATCGACGAGCGTAGTTAGTGTCTCCGTCCCGTTCTCCAGGACCCATCACAAGCGCCTGATTGTGGAATTTGTCAGGGCTTGCTCCTACATATGTACTCCATTTGTAGTCTATTTTTGCGCTTTACATTTGCACGCGCGTACCGGGTTCCAGAGTACCTAACTACTCCATATGATGCTATGAATGTACTTATACTCCGGATAGGGGTACAGAGTACATGCAACTCTGACTATGACAACACGGCGGAGCAACAATGTCACTGCCACTGCCACCCCCACTGCTGAACTGGACCGGCTTCCGCCTGGAACTGAACAAACCTGTCGGGTGCGATCAACGTGCGTATCATATCTTCGGTATCGATCGAACGGGTCCCGGTCTGTCTCCACAATTGTAATGGGTAAGCTTCTCGACGGGTCCGTTGACGCGTGAGTTGGTGGAGGAGACCTGTCCGCATGGGGTGTCGGGGATGTATGTGGTGGGCCCGCTGCTTGATGACCGTGACGGTCGATGTCGATTTCGATGTGATACTTTGCTCATGATTTGGCTCTTGTATGTAGGTAAATACGTATCAGATTCTACGTACATAGGGGTCATCGGATCGGGCAGGAGGTTTGGGTCATGGCCCGTTCTGTTGGGCATGAGACGTTAGTTGTGACTATGTTGCCGAGGTGCTGCTGAGCTCCATGGGGCTTGCGTCGCTGGTTGGCCCGTTATATGTCGGTCGCTATGCAGGTAAGTCTGGTGCCTCCGGTCTATGTAATAATTTCAGAGACAAAATTTGGTCTAGAATTGGTTGCAAAATTTTGGATGTGCATGTACTCCTTACTAGTCGTTGAGGCCTACGCTACGGCATGGAGGACGAAGAAGATGATGAAAGGTGTAGATGGATGAAGACAAAGGCAGGGGGCCAATATAGGTTAATCTGAAGAGCCTGGGGCGTCGTCTCAACACTAGTCAGATGGAACCATACATGTTAGGACTTGCTATGGGCAGAACCAGACATTATGATGCCGCGAGAAGTCTTATTCTGACTGCCCTTGTCGTCTACAAACAGAAATACTTCCTTCGGCAGAGATGATAAAACAAACAAAATATTCCATTGCTAGGAATGCTTTTTCTGAAAGAAGACATATCAAATGAAACAAAGCATCATTACGCAATAAAGTTATACATCTTCCCCCTTTCCAAGGCCAACTATCCAATCTATCAACCCACTGATTTCCTGCAGTGATCAGACTCGAGGCTGTTTTCGATAAGCCAACAAGAATCTTTCGATGGCCACCTGGCCGTTTGCCTGGGCGAACCTTGATGCACGTTTCCTCCTTATATCAAATTCTTCCGTATTTGGATGCTTGTCCAGCAACAATCGCAAAGTGTGGAGTCTGCCATTCTCCGCCGCGCCCTCTATCGCACTTCTTCCTTGCTCTATGGCGGGCGCTCCATTTATCTCTGCTCCGCACCGGAGCAAAATCTCTACGATGCGGATGTTTCCCTTGATGGCCGCCCCCTGCAGCGCTGTGACCCCCCTGTCATGTGCTGCTGGGGCGTTGACATTGGCTCCACGGGCTATGAGATATTCTGTGAGCTTGACAAATCCGTCCTCCGCAGCAGCCTGAAGCGCCGTACGACCCCTGGCGGGACTAGGTAAGCCATTGACGTCTGCACCGTGTTGTATCAAGAGCTCCACCATCTCAAAGTTATTCCTTGATACTGCTGTCTGCAAGGCGGTCATACCCCCAAGTTTATTTGCTGGGGCATTGGCATCCGCACCTTTCTCGAGGAGTGCCCGGACAACATCAATATTATTGCGAGAAGCAGCAGCCTGGATAGCTGTCACATCACTAGGAGAATCGCGAATCCAGCGTTGATTTAGGTTAGCACATGCAGTCAATATGCATCGGAACACATCAAATCCGCGACATGTTGCAGCCTGCATGATGGAGGATTCCTTTGTGGAAACCTCATTGTTTCCAGCGAATGCGCCTGCCTTGAGTAGGAGTTCCAGAAGAGACACATCAACCGTAATGTTTCTCAAAGCTAAAGCTAAGACTTGATGTCTTGCTTTTTGGTTAGAAACTATAGCGTCGGGACATTTCGCGAGAAGCATACGAACCAGCTTCTCATTTGCAGTTAAGACTGCCGCCTCAATAGCTGAAATACCCCTGTAAGACGCTGCTTCGGACTTGATATCTGCTCCAGATTCCAAGAGGAGATCCACCACCGACTGCCTATTCCTCTCAGCGGCCGCCTGCAGGGCAGTGCGTCCCCCATATGAACCAGCGGGGGCATTGATATCAGCTCCATGCTTTATCAATAGCTCCACGAGACTGTCTTCGCCCCATGCTGACGCTTCTTGAAGAGGCGTGAGATATGATTTGGCAGAGTATCCAGGGTTGGGGCTTACACCCTTTTCAAGAAGTTTTCTTGTCGTTTCAAGATCTCCGCACTCGACGAAGGAATGTAAAGGAGCGTTGCGACTTTGGTCCGCAGGTACTTCAGTATCGACCCCTGCACGCATCAAAAGATGAAGTATTTCGTTCTTAACCACTGGGTCTCGAAGCTGAGCAGCTTCTTTGAGAGCGGTTACACCACCGGTGACACACGGGTCGGTGTTCACAGCTGCCTGAGAATCCAAAAGAATTTCTACTCCCTCGATGTTTCCAGCTGCTATTGCAAACTGTAAAGCGGTCTTTCCATTCCTCTCAGATGGAGGAGCATTGACATGAGCCCCATTCTTAAGTAAAATCCTCAGGATCTTGGTGTCAGAATGTTTTGCTGCAGCCTGAAGGGCGGTCTTCCCGTAAAGTATGCCCGCAGGAGCATTAACGTCTGCCCCTTTTGCCAAGAGTAGTTCAACAAGTCTTTCGCTCATGACCATCACAGCTATTTGAAGCGCCGTGTGGCCTTGATTTCCTTTCGGTCTAGCATCAATGTGAGCTTCGTGAGTTAAGATCATGCGAGTCATGGTGATGTTCTTTGCGAGAACAGCTGCTTGTAGCGGAGTAAAGACCGGGGTGGTGTAAGATGACATTTCACTCTCCAACAGTTCTGTCTTGCATGTTCTCCAGCTAGGATTTACTTTGACTCCTTCATCCAGCAGAAGCTGAACAACCTCCCAGTTCTCTCTAATGGCTGCGATGAGGATAGGGGGCATGAAGGAGAACGAGAGGCTTTCAGACAGACTTATTGCACCATCGTCACTGCAACAGTAAAAATCCAAATCAAATTCTGAATCCAAATCCGAATCCGAATCCGAACCTATCTCGCTATCCTCGGTGCCAACAGCATGTGGGTCACTCTTTTGGTAACCCGAGCGTGAATTAATATTTGCGCCTGCTTCAAGTAGAAGCTCTGCCATGCCTGAATTTCCAGAAAATGCGCTCGCAAGTTGAAGGGGAGTCCCACTCTTCGAATTGGCAAAAAAATTAGGATCAGCTCCCTCTTTCAAGAGATACCGGGCTAATTCAGTATCCTCTGCTCGAATCGCCAACTGCAGGGGCGAAAGTCGAGAAGAGTTAAATGGCGGGTTCACAGCAGCTCCGAAGCTGCGCAAAAGGCTCACTGCTTCAAATGGGTTGACACTCCGAACAGAACATGCATATTGCAGTGGAGTCTGTTTGTTAACAGGCAGGTTTGGCTCTGCGCCTGCTGCTAGTAACAATTTCGCACATGCATTGTTCTTCCCTTGAAGAGCCTGGTGAAGAGCTGTTCTTGGCATGAAATCCCCAGTGAAGCAATCGAGATCCGCTCCAGCTTGAATCAAAATTTCGCAAATTTCAACTTCTCCTAATCCTGCTGCGCTTCTCAGAAGATTTCCCATGAAGATCTCCACCGCGGTGTCGTTGAATTTCAAAAGTGTTCTCAGCAGAGAAAAGGCTCGAAATTTTGAAATAAGGGATACCAACTTAGCAGTTGAACGTTCGTCAAGATGATTATTCGATGACAGGTAGATGCAGTAATTGAGATAGTCGAACAATTTATCTCGCAAGGGCGATTGGACCGAGGCTTTGGCTTTTCCTGTACATCCGAGGTTGAAGTTTTCGGATGTTATGGGCTCTAGTTTCGAAAAGAAGCTTGGCCCGTCTGAACCATCAAATGATTTAAACTGTTGGGAGAGAATCAGGCGAGTCTCCTCGGCCATGCTTTCGTTCTCGGTGTTTGCTATGCAAGTCTGGGGTTGAACCCCCCCAATTTGCGCCGTCTGATGGAACGGAAATAGGCAGATCACATTCAAATATGTCGCCGTTAGGATTGAACGCATCTGCAGCGGGCTCTCTGTTGCCTTGCAAGATAAAGTCCAACGAACTCGGATCGGACAGAATGATCGGTGGAGGAGAGGGCCCACCACTGAGCTGCAACGCTTCTGGGATTACCCAGTTCGAAAGCTCAAAGTTCGGGGGCTGTGACCAGTCGTTCAGCGGTAGAATTTCCTGACTGTCGGGCTCAGTACCAATATCGTGAGGTTGTGCTCCAGGTGTGCACACAAGAATTCCTTCTGGTGTCTTGGGATCTGAAATGACAAATGAGTATTTGAATCATTCCAAGTCAAGACGAAAATGCAGTTCCAACGTACCAGACGTCTCTATCTCCGAATATTTTGAAGATAATGGAACATGGCGAGCTATTTCTTTTCTGACTTTGGAATCCGGAACGCGCTTTCCACGCTTCAAGTTATAAACCCACCCGGGGTCTTTCCCATCCCGCTTTCGTTTTTCCTGGCGAGCTGAGACGAACTGCCAGTCTTCGCTGGTTAAATTTTTCTTGTAACCCCATTTATTGAATTGACGAGAAAACTGACTTTCACTTGGGTGGAATTAGTCTCTTTACTCATATGATAAGCAACAGCCTCGCGACTTTTACGACTGACCTTCTGTAGAAGCTGTAACTTTGAGACATGTAATTTTGAACTTGTTTGGCAGTCCAATCTCGGTCGAGCCACAGATGTTTGAGCTCTCTGCGGTGGCTTTCCCACTCGTCTTCGTGACTCTGTGCCATGAGTCTGCGTTTTTTGGTCTCCTAGAAGGGTCTTAAGCCCCTATATTCGAGAGTGGTATACAACTTGAATATTTATATTCGAGTGGATATTGAAGCCCTTTAAATTGTATTTGTGGGTGCGATTCTGAACGTTCTATTGAGGATTGCCAGAATCCAAAAAAATCTTCAACCTTTGTCAATCTTCCCAGCACAGGTCATAAGGGCTTGGGGCTGTTTTTGGCCTCGACGAATGAGAGCATTGAACATGGCGCCTCGATGGGCCAACAAGGATCATTGTGATTGGCTGAGGCCCAAATATCGATTGACGAGACGAAACGAGCTGAGTCCCTAATCCCTGTCATTCTGGACTTTTGTTTACTCTGCGAGGCGGAAATCTGGATATGGTGCTTACCCCTTTTCCCCTTCCCCTGTTTTTTCGTCCTGGTCTCTCAAGCTTCAATGTACATATATACTAGTATTTGCCATAATTCTCCAATCTTTTTCAAACGCGCCAGTCTCTACGGGGCATACTGGAACGATTCATTGTTTAGTAGCAGCACCTATCTCATACTACTAGTGACTCTTCACATTGATCATGCCCCATTTATGTGACATAAATACTATGCTACAATACTATGCTACAATATGATTGGCTCATTCCTGAATTTCGTGTCCTGAATTGAGAATGAACGAGCGTGTAATGTTCTGGCAAGAACTTCTAACGACTCTTTCCCCACGCTCCACTAGAAATTTCGGCTTTGACGTGTCTAATGCCGCCATTATGGAGGTTGGCGGCTCCTTCACGATTTCAACCCGATATTCTGGTATGACAGTTATCTCACCCACATGAGCCTCACAAAAGCGCAAAATTCGCAGACGATATACGCTATTTGTGACTTGTTAGTACAGCAGACCGCAACTCTTCATCATTCTAATGTGATCAAAGGTGACTTTTTTGAGCCGCATTAGAGACTGCGTAAAGTTGCTTTGGGTGTTGTAAAATAACACGGAGCACGAAGAAGTCCTCTCTAATCATCACTTGAGCAATGGTTGGCTCCACAGAAATTCACTTACGTGCATATTCAAGTCAGCTTCAAGTAAGCCCTTGGGGTGCCCCGCTTAGACCATGTTCGCGATTGTTGATCGGAAGCCTCAACCAACACCGATTCTCGAATGAGAGGACGCAAATCGCATAACAACACATTCGATATCGGTCGTTGTAACCGGTTATCTGGCTTTCAATGGGAAAAAACAAGCAAAAATGGACAGAGAGCGGTCGAAATTCCCTTGGAAAGACTATTTTAAGCAAGGATTTTGGCCCCCAACTACACTTAAGGCTGACTCTCCCACGCACCCAGTAGTAAGTATAAACGTGGCTATGTAGCTGTGAGTGGAGAATGGGGAACCGTCTTTAAATACCGAGTACGGAGTAGCATATCACAGACGCTATTCAAGGCTCTCGCCCACCTAAAGTCTGCACCGCTTGCCGATCAACTCCTCTTTCGTGATTTGGCCCCCATTCAAGGCTGAGCATATTGGGTTTGAATCGTCAAAAATAATGGATTGATTTAACCTTCCTTTCCCCGAGCGGGTTTTTGAGGATTTCTAAGAAGTCATTTTCTCAGCTATTTTCTTCACATTTGTTCACTATGCTCTCCATAGACGAACACAACCCTGAGTCTCAACATCTGAGTCCTCTACAAGATGGATCAGATGATGAATCTGAAGCTTCTAAATCTGACCGTCGCCGTTCAGGTGCCCGATTCTATTCGAGCCACTTTATCGAAGCACCTGATGTTCCACTAACCGCGAGTCCAGCTCCACCAGAGCTATCTTTTCTTGGAGAAGTGCGACTTTATCCTAAAATCACGCTGTACAGCATCGGCCTCGCGATAGCATTTTTATTAGGCGGCTACGATTCTGTCATTGTCAACACTGTTCCATCAATTTCGCAATTTCAAAAGGATTTTGGCGTGCAGTACGGGTCCGATAAGAACGACTATATCATACCATCAATGTGGCTGTCTCTTTGGAGTGCGCTGGGAGCTGTCGGACAGATATTGGGAGCACTTGTCTCGCCATCCTGGCAAGATCGCTCCGGCCGGCGAATTCCAATGATCGTAGGAACTGTGATTTCTGCTGCAGCAGTCGCCGTCATCTACACTTCCTACTTGCCCTCCGACATTAATGCTCGACGAGCCGTTTTTCTCATCGGCGAGATAATTTCAGGTTTTGGTATCGGTATTTTGACGACGACCGCGCAAACCTACCTCTCCGAAACGGTACCTACAAGTCTGCGAGGCTCTGCGATGGCACTCTGTCCGACATTTGTGTTGTTAGGTCAACTTGTTGGTGCTTTGGTGGTATTTCTATCTTCGAGCGGAAATACGAGCAGTGCATACCTTGTGACCTTCGTTTCTATGTGGCCATTTTCCGCCATCACGCTCCTTATTGTCGTGCTGGTTCCAGAGAGTCCTGCATTTCTTGTGCGTAACGGCAGACTGGTTGACGCACATCGCTCGTTGCAGAAACTTCACTCTAGTACCCAGGATTGCGGACAGCTGGTCAAAGACCTACAGAAAACTGATGTGCAAGAGAAAGAAGAAAATGAGAAGATCCCTTGGCGTGACTGTTTCCGAGGTACTGATTTACGACGAACTCTTATTGTGTCATTTGTATCGATGATGCCTTGCTTCTTTGGATTTTCGCTACTATCAGATGCGAGTTATTTCCTGCAGATTGTTGGAATGGATGACCATAACAGTTTGATGATGTTTGTTTTGGGTATCAGCTTGGGGTTGGTAGCCAACGCTGTGGGCGTGTGGGTTGCTAACGTCGTCGGACGACGGACGCTCATGTTAAGTTCGCTGTCTGTAACTTCACTACTATGGCTTGGGATGGGTATTGCTGGCTGCTGGTCCGGTACTGTTTCGATCTGGTAAGGTTACCAATAGCTACCCGGTTTACTATCGCATCTTTGATAGCTAACATTGGTGTCAGGTATACCGCAGTGACGATGATGTTTATTGTCGTGATCTGCGGTGTGGGTGCATGGCCTGCTTCATTTGCAGTTGTTGGAGAGACATCATCTCTCCGCTTGCGAGCCAAGTCGCAGGGTATCAGTACTGTCGCCTCCGACATTGCGAGTATAATCTTTAGTTTTGTTCTGCCATACGTCTATAACAAAGATGCTGGGAACCTTGGTGCCAAGACAGGCTTCTTGTTCTTTGCAATTTGCACAATAACGACAGTTATAACCTGGCTGGCGGTTCCGGAGCTCAAAGGAAGAACCAATTCTGAAATTGATCATATGTTCAAATTGGAACTACCAACAAGGAAGTTTAAGGATTGGTCGGGAGTTGACAGAATGGATGACTCGGAAGGATTGATGTGGAAATGAATGATGTTCTAGTAGATATAAGTCCTTATTAGTGTTGCTGGCAATCTCTAAAAAAAATTAGATATACTAGTATATGCTCTCGACCCAGGGACCTAGTTGCTGTTACTAGTACTAGTAGTTGGGGTGTACTAATCGTGTAACGATGCAGGTGGATATAGATATTCTTACCTGCCAAGTTCCTGGATGGCTTCAGGCAGGGCACGCTCATCAGAAATTGCATCTACCTAGTTCCCTTATTTAGATCATACACTTCACGCACACGATATTGTCCAGTTGGTAGTTGGCAGTTGACAGTGTAGTATATGGTTAGTAAGCAACATGGTTGGCGTCGTGTCACGTGCTCCGAGATGCGGCCGCAATTTTCCTTGGGGCGGCATCGTGAATGTTGACGAGCAGCATCAGTCGAGCCATTGCTGGGCCACCACCACTACAATGCAGAAGGTCATTCAACGGACGGCTACGGCCCGCAAGCAGGCCCAGAAGAAACTGTTCCGAGCCCAGAAAAAGGATGATTTGGCCAACCGCAAAGACAACATTCGGATGCGAAGGGACTACAACAAGGCCATACTCGATTCAATCAAGCTAGCACGCACTTCTCGCTGGGAGGACTACAGGAAGGGAGATCTTGCTCCCAAGCGAGACTCCGGACTGGAAGCTACGACCTTCGGTGCTGTCGACGCCGCTCTGCTTCACCCCCCGACCATCCCTAAAAACCAACGCCGCAAGCACATCCTTTTCGCCGCGGGAGACCGAGTTTGTGTGATTCGGGGCCGGGATCAAGGAAAGATCAATGAGATCACACAAGTAAACGAGGAGAGTGAGACTGTCACGATAAAGGACATCAACACGGTGAGCTTGCCAACCCTGCCAGCCCCTTCTACCTAGGATTCCATTCAGCATCACTAAACCGGGTCTCTTAAATAGGTCGATCTCAAAGTTCCCGACTGGGCCAAGGCCTCAATGGGTATCAAGTCCGACGTTCTCGCACAGGCGTTGCCGGTACCCATGGACGACGTCCGACATGTCATCGCACTCGAGACTGGAGCCGAAGGTAGCTCGGTTACACGCGACCACATCGTTAAACACGCCTACGCCGGAGCGCCCTATTTAGAGCGTGCCGAATACAGCAAAATCCCTCGCTACACCCGTTACATCTCCGGTCTTGACATCGAGATCCCCTGGCCCGTTGAAGAGAACCCGAACTACAAGGATGGCGAATATGATACATTGCGATTCGAAGTCGACCAAGAGACCTGGGTTCCGTCTTTGGATAACTCACCTTTCCCATCGAGCGTTCTCGACGAATTGCGAAACAAATACTCCCGATTCCGTAAGCGTCACGACCCTGAGTATGTGAGAGAGAAGGTTCTGGAGGAATATCGGAAGGAGTACCTGGCCAGCCAGTCTCTGTTCACTCCTGCGATTGAGCGCAAAGAGGCGGAGATTGCGAAGAGCAAGGCGGCCAAGCTGGCCAAGATGGATGCTGATGGCAACATGCTTCTTGATTCCGAAACAAGCAACTTCATTGATCGCTTTATGCAGACAAGTATCAGTGAGCAGCCAAAGAAGCTATCCAAGAGGGCCAAGGCTAAGGCTAAGGCTCAAGCTGAGGCTCAGTCTC